AGCTAGAGGTGTGGAACGGTCTCAACAAAGCCCTAAGGCGATGACACTAAATGCCGCGACAATACCAGATGCGGCGAATCCGACTTTCTGATATCTCAACTCAAACTCAAATCGCAGTAGCTACAAGTGCTCAGGGAGCAACTCGTCGCGACCGGGCAGGGATGGCAGAACTTCTTAGGGTGGAATCACGCGGCACGCAAATTGTACAAAACAATCTGAAATGGTAGTGATTCACAGTCCGGGGAAAGCTCTCTAATACAAAGAGACGACGTGCTACTTATACTGTCTACGACGCTGCTTAGTAAAGTCCTGTACAACTGCATAGTAGCTACGCTATCTAAGATCGGTTGCCTTTTAGGGTAATTGAAAAGTTGAACGATCGGACAGGTCCTGAGTGATCAGGACCCCGCTCCATCGTCCATATGATACTTTTGATGTGGGCCAACCCACCGCGTCATACTTTTGGAATACGACGTGCTGGATTGGCCAACGGGTATGTCTTGGCATGTGAGACCAACGTGGGCGCCCCAAGAAGCCGTATGACTCTAGGCACGCCAATCGTCCCCCACATGGCTCGGTTCACGGATCTAGCCGTATCGATTTTAGTGTGTTTGAGTATGGGCGCGACTCGCCGTGACACTTGGAAGTGTCACCGCGACGCGTCCACAATGTCCCGTGATCGAATGGATCCTGACATGTGACAAGTCGTCGTCGTGGCATGATCTGAGGAAACGTCCAACTCAAAACTGGGAGTTGCCGCGACAAGATGGTTTAAGTCTTGTAACGCCAAGTCCTGTCCAATAGTAGTTCTATTATTGAGAACGTCGCGCATTGCTCAGCCCTTCAGCCCAAGTTCCCATCTGCAGAGAATGACCCTTATTGAGAAGTCGACGCAACGACATATCCCCCTTTTGGGGAATGGTCGCGGTCCAAGCGTTCGTCACTAATGGCCCTGAGCCTGGTGTAGACTCATAAGACCAGTTCCACAGTAGTGGTCTGACTGCCTTGCTATCGTCGACACTACCCACAGTCGTCGACTGGGCAGTAGACCCATAAGTCCTACTGAGCGCAACACTGTTAACCGCGACACGATACACCGAGTGGTTCAAGAGTAAACTCTGTAAAAAGCGCAAAAATACGCCCTTACAGAGCTGGTGCAGAGCGCGTCTGGTAGCCAGCCTATCACCGGTACAATTGATGTCGATGCACTCGGTCCGCAATAAACCTTCGGTCGGACGCGGACGCTGCCAATCGGTTAGCGAAGTGTCGCGACAGGAGGTGGAACTGCGAGACTCACCCGGGGTCGCATCAGTGGTACTGTTGCTGAGTCGCTGCCTCTTCGAGCCGGTGACAACGAACGATGGCTGGGTAATTGGTCAGAAATGTAGTCGCCGCGACTGAGTAAAACTCACGTCTGGAAACTCTGGAGACAGCTCCCTAGAGCCTCCATCTGCTCCACGTGAAGCTTCGACATTTTGGCGCTGAGAAGACGCATCGACCTATCGTGCTCGTCTATGAGTCGAATGATAGTCCCATAGACGTCCGCGAGCCCTACGGAGTCGTAATGACCAGATCCGTCGACCGATCGAGAACCGGACCGTCCTGCGACGGTCTTGCGAGTAGATGGTCGCGGGGTCTGTGAAAAATCAACCTGTGCTCGGCAAAGGCTCGAGACGGACGCACCTTCTCTTGAACAGGAGTGGGGGCCTCCATCTCGACGTCTGAATCAATGTCGATAGCAGGAGTTGGGCCTGAAGCCTCAGGAACAGGGTCTTCGGCCTGTGCAACAATATCCGTAAGAAAATCTGGACAAAGACAGGGAATCATACCTTGGCCTTCCCAGACGACGACGGAGTCGCAGCAGGACGTGGGATGCTCTCCTGAGCCTGTCGCAGGCTGATGATCGCCGCGACAAGGGACTCATGCCAAATCAGATAGGCTCGATACTTGTTGACGGCCTTAGTCTGAGAGGCGTCGCGCTGCTTCTCTGGAACTTCCTTGAGCAGTTCCGTCTGAGACAGAGCGAGCGTGGTGGCCTCCTCGAGACAATCCAAAACGTCGCGGGGAGGATCTTGAGCAGCAAACGAGCTGGCTTGAAAGCGGGTCTGTCGACGAGATAAGATAATCGCCGCGACACGCCATCACGAATCAACTTACTCGAACAAAGAAAATATCCTTGCCAACGCTGAGGATGCCCTCTGAACCACCTAGACCCAGCTTGTTCATCGCTGCGAGAGAAGGCTTAGCCTTCTTCCACGACGCGACGAGTGATGCAAAGTCTTGGGGGAGAGGAAACGCGGACATAGCGAGGCCTGGATAGAGAGAAAGAATGGGAACGAAATAAGGACTGAGAATGGGACTGGACATAACCTGTCAAGCCCACGCAGACTTTATATCGTCGACTCTGGAAAAACTTTTCTAGTCGCGCATCAGATAAGCCGAGGACGGCTTAGATCTGTGTTCCTGGGAGAGGGCAGATCTTACGAAAGATCAGCCACAGAGTCCGCAGAAGCCCACACATTGGAAATTGAGGTGCGCGACAACGTGCACACCCCTTGGACCCATGTGCTGGAAAATAGAAAATCCAATGACGCTACCGAGGACGAGGTCCGGGACTTTTTCAAAATGTTTCAAGAAAATTCTTCCAAGAATTTTTGAAAATTTCGACTCAAAGGTTCACGCGACGACGACTCAGGCAGCAACGATTGATTCGGATTGACCTACGACGACGATACGTATGTGTGTGCAATGTAATAAATAAAAACGAGCCGCGACGTTCACGGATGGTGGAACGAGCTGAACTACTGCTCATCCACCTCCATGGCAGTCTCACCCGCGGCGACGGAGCCCTCGTCCTCGACGTTCTCGTCGTCGACGTTCTCGTCGTCGACTTTCCCGTCGTCGGCGTTCTCGTTGCCGGCAGACCCGTCCTCTTCACCCTCCGCGTCTTCATCCGACTCGGCCTTGGTGGACTCGGCCGAGGTCTCGCTGTAGTTGTCGGAAAAGTCCAAAACCTGCAAAACGGCTTGGGACGACGACGCAACGGGAGGCGGCGATGGCGAAGGCTGGGGCGACGAAGAGGGCGCGCGGGTGCGACTACTCGCCAAGTGCGCGACGTCGATCTCGTGGTCCTCGCCAGGTTGGAACGCTTGATCCTGGACGGTCGCGGGGTCCGACTGGTCGAATTCCTGGGCCTTCTCGATCTCCCTCTGGAACTGCTTCTCCATCTTTTCCATCTCGCGATAGAAAAATGGATCGAAGAAGGCGGGAGGCGCCGCGAACCGCTCGTTCGCCTCGCCATCCAACAAGTCCCCGTGGGTCAAGATCATCCGAACACCCTTACGGATGTCGGCCATCTCGGCGGCGTCGATCTCGGTCGCGGTGTGGACGAACATCGCCTTGATGCGTTCGTCCGAGCCGTCGTCGAAGTGCTCCTTCAGCTGACCAACGAAATCACGGAACTGGCCAATGGCCAGGACGCGGATCTCGTTGGCCGTGCGAAGAAGCCCGCCGTACGCGTCCAAGGTGTCGGCGAGACGGTTGGCGGACTTGTTGAGATCTGAAGACGTCGTCAGAAACGATCAAAAATAGAAATGAATGATAAGAGTGGACTCTTACCATCCGCGCTCATCTGCGCGATGTACCCGAAGCGTTGCCCCATATACAGCTGCTCCGCGGGCTTGTAGCCGTTGGTGCAAGTCTGTTTATAGAGCACGCACGGGGCGCACTGATTGCCGTGGCGCCCGTCAACGCTCTTGAAGCAGATGCGCTGCCGCGTCACGCACATCGCGCAGGGCCTTGGCGCGACCTCCTATGAAAAAGGAAGTCAGTCGTCGAGGCATGGCAGAAAAAGATAGAGGAACGCACGAAGTCAGTTGGCACCTCGACGCCGGCCCTTTCCAACTTCCCCGCGAACCCTTGGCGTGCCACCGAAAGGAGCGCCTCGGTGTCGTAGGCGGCGGGAGTGAACGGAGCTCGGGGCGTGGGGGCCGACGCCTTCGCAGGAGTCTAGAAACAGTCAAGTCAGTAAAAAGTCGACGACAAGAAAAAGTCGCGACTCACCGAGTCAGATTTCTTCTTGGCCGCCGCAACGGACTTTTCTGCCTTCTGAGCCTTGAGCTTGGCCTTGGCCGCCGCAACACTCCGCTCGCGACCAAGGGTCGCGGCCACCCTGCCCAACTCACTGCGTGGAGTCTTGGTAGCGGCGGGGGCCGCCTGGGCAACCTAGAAAAGAAAGAAAAACGAGTTAGTCGACGTCTGGGAACCAAGATCTGTGTCTCACCTTAGCCACTGGGGTCGGGGTAGTCGTCGCTCGCGGGGCGCTTGCCTTGCGACTGGCCTCCACCTTCGGCACCGGATGGGGAGGCACGGACTTGGTCGACTTGGATGATCCATCCGCGACCTTCTTGATTGGCTAAAAAGCTGGATTAAGGGGCGTGGTCTGGGAAAAAGGAGCCGGCTTACCTTGGGCTTGACGCGGGTCTCGCTGACCTGCTTCTTGGCCACAACGAAGTCACCGGTCTCCTCCCCACTTTCGGAAGTGTCGTCCATGACGATGACGGACGGGGCTACAAAAGTGTGAGTAATCGACAGAGGGGGCAAGAGGAAGAACGCACTCAAATTCGATCGCGCTTTCCCCTTGGACTTGGGCCCCTGTCAAAAACAAACCAACCATGAGACGAAGAATCGCGATCGACGAACTGGGTCACTTACCTGAAGGGCCAGCTCGTCGGCTGATGACGCGTCTCCCTCCTGGACCCCCTCGTCGTCGACATCCATCGCAGTGTCGGCGACGGCGGCGGCATCAGTAAAACTACACCTTGGTCCGGGGCATCCTCTGTCCTGAAAGATGGGTCTTGAATCTTGAGATGTGATCTTGAGTCTTGAAAACATGATCTTGAGTCTTAAAAACATGATCTGGGTCTTAGAGTGATTTGTCTTGGGAAAGTTACGAATTGGTCTTGGAACACGTCTTTTCATTAGTGTTGTGGCGTAGTGGTATTTATTCTTCTCGGTCAGCCCATAAGGTACGCATCTCTTTTTGGTTCAATCCTTGTTGAGTGCAAAGATTTCTACGAGCAGTCGAGGGGCCTTCGCTCAGTGCCATTCAATATTTTCCGGTTACATCGTTTGGGGAAAAGATTCAAAGTCCTGAGCCCAGGTAACAATAGATAACACAAACATTTCAAGCTACTTTTCAGTACTGCAGATTAGAACGCTATCTCATGTGAGTGATGGTCCGCATATTTGTTAATGTAAAAGGCTTTGAAATTATCTAGAGAGTCCGTGTGCTTAATACGATGCGGGAGAAACTCATTGCCAAAGATTGGTAAAAGGTGTGCAGAACGAAGAATGGTATCAATGTGCACAATGTCCCGGATACGTCGACCCCAAGCATCAACGTCAGGCTCTACCATCCACATGCCCACATTAGGGCAGGGATCATCACCGATTGTGGAGAACCATGTAACGAGTGCACAGTCAAAGTTCATGCCATCATGCTTAATAGACATGAACAACATGACCCGTGCAGCCATGAGGCCACGGAAGCCAGGCTCACCAGCTTCCCCCTCCACAAACACGCAGTCGTGGCGTGCAGGCCCGCCGCGCCAAGAGCGTGTGGAACGGATACGTTCGCGCATCAATCCTCCAATTCCAGATTGGTCACTGGGTGCAAGGAATGTCGCGACGGCAGATGGGTAGACTTTCACACTGCTAGGCAGCGGAGGGCACTCTGGAAGGTGCACATCTTGTAGGTCGCGTTTGTCATCCGGATTCTCCTGCGCAAACAGGAAGCGGCGGATGAGATCGGGGAGATCGGGGAAGCGGAGGTGTTGCGCAAGAAGACGAGGGTCGCGGGGGTATCCACGGGCAGGTACGTGGGCCAGCTTCACCTCGCCCAGGATCCCATCATCATCAACAGGTCCCACGTCCTCATCGTCGTTGGCGGTCGGAAGTGTAGTGAGAATAGGGCGGGAAGCATGCCGTTTGGGTGCAGATGGGCCCAAAAGCATTCCGCGTGCAGTGAAGTCTACCCGAGCTGCGGCGAGTCGGTCAAGGCGGTCGTTGATGGTGAGCATTTGTCCGAGTGCCTGATAGCGGCTGGAACGTCGCCACGGCTCCTTCACGGCCTTGATATGCTTAGATTCCGTGATCGAGGAGCACAGTCCATTTGGAGCGCCAAACTCTTGGATGAGTCGGCGGTAGTGAGTGAGTGAATGTTGGCGAGGGAGGGAGAAGTTAGTGGTTGCAACAGTTTTGAAGATGGAGCGCTCGTGATGGTAGCGAGCAAGGGCCGCGTCAATCTCTGCAAGTGTGTCCTCGGTGATAACACTCCGACGGACTAGGTAGCAAAAGTCGAGAAAGGCACTGAAGGCTCGAACCATCTGGTCTGGGACATGGCCCTCGATGGCTGGAAGGTAGACCTGCATATGACATTAGATCGGATCCAACAAGCTTGAGACGTTGCCTTACCTTCATCAGTGCCTTTGAATCGTCCCCAGTCCATTGTTTGAAACCACGCCCTTCAGGGAAGCGACGTAGTCCAGGGAAGGCAGGCGCAGCAGCAATGCTATAGATCTCTCAAGGCCAAGTCAGGATGGATGGATGAGACGTACCGACGGTCTATATCAGCCATAATCTCCTTGGTTCTTGTTGTTCCATGTTGCTTGATGAGATACGCCTCGACCCAGGCAACCAGATGGTCTTTGAATGTCCCCTTGACAAGTTGATGCAGGATGTCGGGTGACAGCAGCTCGTGTATATCGGCATGGGGAAAGTCCCAAGTAAACGGCTATGCAGCACGGCGTTGTGTCAGTCTGCGATTGAAACGTCACAGGGAGACTGACCAATACATCTGGGATGACACCGTAATCATCCCACATCTTCTTGTGCTCGAACGTGGCAAAGAGATGCTCAGTTAGCCGCTGTGCACGACGACCGCCGGGACCATCAAGATCCTTGCTCAACGCGCTACATCTAATAAAGATGTCAGCCGTGCTCTGTGTGCAATGCGTTGATTTACATACATTGCGCACCATCCCTGGACAACGCAGGCAAGGAGAACCTGCTCCGGGTAGTCAGCAATGTATGGCCCAAGCCCATAGATGACCTTCCGAAAGTGACCGTCTCCGAAGCGTACGACCTCTGGGGTTGTCATAGCAGGTTTGAGTGAATTGAGGATATTCTCGAGAGAAGAGTGGAAGAGTTGACGACGGAACGTCCGAAATTCCGGAGACGATTCGTGTTCGCGGTCCGCTATCAAAAGTTAGGCTCAATGAAGAAGCATACAAAGTGATGCACGCACTCTTTGGGATGGCCAGGAAGCCCACAAGCATCACTCCATTACGATGTGCTCGCCGGACGTTGTTGTGTATGAGACCGTTAGAAATGTACAAGGGGTAGTACTCGTTCTGGCCGGTGGCAACCGAGACTGTAGTCTTGTCACTACCCAGGATGACAGGCACAAATGTGGCGCCATGTGTCTGCGGGTCTGTCGAGGCCAAAGTCTCCTGTGAGATGCCTGTGTCAAAAAAGAGACTCGCGCATACTCAGCCTCGCACCGCTTGCCGCCATGACCAATTTCCAGACATAAAGTCCTTGTATTCGCGTTTACCATCCTCCCTGTACACCTGCTTCGGCGCGTAATCCATCTCAGCTTGGAAGTCAGGATTCCCAAGCTGCGCATGGAGCAAAAGTCGGGGGTCGCGGAAGTAGACAGTGTGCGCTTGTGTCTTCCATGGAGTCGTCTCGTCTGGATCCACATCCCCAATGTAGGTGACCTCGAAAGACTGCCAGGGGATATGCCCAGCCTCGATTGCGTCAATGGTACTGTAGAGGTCATCGTGATTGGCGAATGGCGGATTCCCTCCTTCCCGCGCAGCCCAGAGATCCATCAGCTCGTCAATCTGCCCCCCCGACATCTGGACTTTGCGATACAGAAAGTCGCTTATGCGGAAATCGATGTCATCGTGGTATGGGGTGTAGTCGCCTGCGGGTCGATGGTCGGGTGATGGAGGCGAGGCGCCAGTGGGGAGAAAGACTCCATGACGGTTGCAAGGCAGACCTGGATGCATGCGTCAGCCAAATAAGATTGAAGAATGGATGAAAGGACACCGACCATTGAGGTCGGGGTGATACACTACATGTTGTCTGGGCCGTAACGGAACATCCTCCAACTCGCTCTCCAGCACATCTCCTCCACCTGATGCTGCAGATGCTCGACTTCCAGCGGGGGAAGGAGATCGTGGTCGTTGTTGTCGATTGAGGTGGAATCGCTGATGCTTTGCGTTTTGATGTGCTGTCAAACCGGACAGTTTCCGGGCGAAGAAGTTACAGCTGGGAACTGGGCACGGGATATCGCGTGGAGCATACAAAGCAGTGGTGATTCGAGGCATACCGAACACAGCAACCCAAAGGACTTGCAAAATCGAAAGTCCGTGTTAGGACTGGATGAAATAAGCATGAGTGCACTGGCGATCAAATTGTTTGCCCTGGCCGATCACATACAAACAACAGCAACTCTTCTGATGGTCGTTCTCACCAACCAGCCTCATCGAAGCGATATTTGTCCAGCAACGTCCGCCAGCGCAATCTTGGAGTGGGCCACATTTTCCCCAAGCAGGAGATAAGCCGGTGGCTGTAATGGGTGTTAGGGGTTGTATGATGGGCTAGATAACAGCCAAGGTGCGTTTACAGTTTTTCATCCGTTTTTCAAATGTGTGCTAGGGGTTGTATGACGGGCTAAGGGGTTGTAAGACGGGCTAGATAACAACCCCGGTGGGTTTACAATTTTCCTCCATTTTTCCGTCCTTCCCTGCTCATGGCTACCCCCCAGATTGCTTCAAAGCGTCGTAAGGCTCCTGTCGGAGTGCCCAAGTCTACATCCACTCCTTTCCGACCTCCCTCAAAACCAGCCAAGTCCAAGTCAGCTGCCACCTCCGGATCTACAAATGCTCGTGGCAACACTCCTCCCCTCATTACGCGTGCCGCTGCTGCTGGCGTCGAGGTCCATCCGGGGCTTGCCCCTGGTATTCAGCCAGCCCCGCGCCGTTCATCCGCCGTTGTTGCTGCTGAGTCCGCAGAGCAAGAGCGCCAAGAAGCCTTAGATGCGGAGGAGCTCAACCGTAAGGTCTCTGCACTGGCAGCGGCTGAAGACAAAATACAGCGGGAGGATGAGGAACGTGACGCACGTGCAGACCACCCTCCAGCACAGGCTGCCCGTAGTTGGCCTCAGATGACGACGACGCTCAATGGTGAGAGATGTGGCCGCTTATTTGTTCGCTGACAGATTTTCTCCTTAGATGGTTTTGAATCTGGCGACGATGATGAACCCTTCCGCCCTACAAGTGCTGACGGAGACTCAACATCGTCCGCTGCAGCTGTCGAGACCACCGGCAAGCGCAAGAAGAAAGTCAAGGCCAAGGCAACCCGCAGCGCTGTCTTCGCTGCGCGTTTGACGCAAAATCGCACTGGCACTCCCCAGGTTTCTGTCGAGCATGCTCCTACCCTGTATGCTGTCCATCTTCCGTTTCATTCCTCACTGACATGAGCGCAGGCACCATGCGTCTAAGAAGCACAAGCCCTCCAAGAAAGCTGGCCTTGCAATGACCAGGCCTAACGACTCGGATGATGGTGGTGACGAACTTGATCCTGATGCCATGCTCCGCTACGGGGGGCCTGCACTGGACAACGACGTGCAGGAGTCGGTGGAGCGACGGAGCGACCAGCGCAATGGTCTCCCAAACCAGGTGTGTCATGATATATGCTCATTCTTGTACTCAATGTGTTTCTAGATTGTCAAGGTTGGTGCCCCGCACCGTGTTACCCAGAAGTCCCAGCGTGTGGGCGGTGGCAAGAAGTGGACACCTGACGATCTGCCTGCCGGCGTTGCTACCCGGTTCAAGAGCGTCTTCCAGGCATTTATCCGAGCATTCACAGGTACACTGGAACCCTGGGCAAGCCCGACCGTTCAAGAGGTCCAGGAAGCCGTCAACACTATCTATGGTGCGGGTCTATATCGCGTCGAGGAAGACAATGTTTGGTATGTCCTGGTATGTTTCATGTCTCTTACTGTCGCTCTCACTCTGATGTCGGTTGCAGACAAGCTATCGTTTGGGGGACTGGCGCCGCAACTTCTTCACGAGGGCTTGCGACGCAATGCTGGCCTATATCAAGTACTCTAATGACCGTGATGAAGAGATCAAGCAGCAGAGTATGTGTTTTTCTCTTGTGTGTGCAATTATTGATATGCCTTGTCAGAGTACCATGAACTACTCGTCGACCACCCGAACCTCAAGTACAAAGACGTGACCGATGATGATGACGAACTCTTCCATATGCGCACCCCCAAGGAGATTGCGGAGTTTGTTGCGGCAATGCTGGAGATGGAGGATGATGGCACATATGCCTTTCATTGGGAGACTTACGGGGAGAAGAAGGTATGTCTACCGCATGATCTGCTTGTTGCTTGCTAACGCTATCATATACTAGGGTCTCTTTATGAACTATCTCATTCTCGCCACGTTCAGCTATCACCTGACGATTCTGGATGCGGTCCCTTCTCAGTGTCAGTTTGGAGCTCATCCCTATGGTGCGGTTCTACTGGCAGTTCAAGCAGTGTGTGTCTATCTTATCCGCATTTTGATACTCACACTTGTTTAGGTCCAGCGTATGCTCAATTGCTACAAGACCGGTTTGTTCGTCGTGCCTAATGGGAAAGATCCTGAACAACAGTTCTCTGCTGACAACTACGCTGATAAGAAGGTCCGCCGCGAGGGACGGGTTGTACTCGATCGCCGTGGCACCAAGTACCTGCACACAATCCAGGCATGGAGCAATGCAAAGTGGGAGCGGTTCCTGGCAGGTGCAAGGGAGTACAAGGTCAAGGCCAAGGGCAATCGGGCCTCGAGCGCAGCTTCGTCGGAGCCTGAGGACATCATTGACGTAGATGCAGAGTTAATGATTCTTTCGGATTAGCATTTGTATTAGCAAAGAATGATTGCTACATTTGCTTATTTATTGATTCTAATGCATCCCGTGTGTCCTGATATTGTCTTGAGAGAGATCTTGAATCAACATCTGAGTAAGCACTGAGTCTTGGCAAGGAGAGAGGTGATCTTGACAAAGATCCTTGGATCTTGACAAAGATTGTGTGATCTTGTTGAGGTTAGTGGGGGTATCCGAATCAGGACTGGGGTCTTGAAACGTAATTTGGTCTTGAGTGTCTTGAGTGTCTTGTACAAGACCGTGAAGACCGTGAAGACGAAGGTGTAGTTTTACTGATGGGCTTCCTCATCGCTGAGGGACTCGGGTTGCACGGGCTGTGCTTGGATCCGGGCTGGGGGGACCAAGTGGTTAGTCTCAGGATCAAAGAAATAAGACATAGGGTGCACACACCTGCGTGCGTTTTCTTAGGGACGCGCTTGGGGGGTGCCTCCTGTGAAACAGGGACCGGAGTAGCGGCTACAATAGATCAGTGCCCGCGACTTCGGTGAACCAAATGAAAAGGCCACTTACGAGTAGGCGCATGCGACGATGCCTTGGGCTCCTTTGCAGGAGTCGCCTTGGGTCGCTTCCCCTGCGGCTTCTCGCTCGACTTCTTGGCGACGGCGACCTTGCTGCCCGCGACGGCGGCAGGGGCCTGCGGCTTGGAGCCGTCACCCTTCCCCTTCTGCTTGGCAGGCCGGGACGACGAAGGGGCGGCGACTTGTTCGGTTGGAGCCGCCTGGGGGTCGATCAGAACATAGTAAACGAATGAAACAGATTACACGTACGGGCTCGACGACTCGCTTGCGTTTCTTGGGCGGCAACGACTCCTCGACTGGAGCGTTGGTGGTCAAGGGCGCAGGCGCCAGCTAGCCCTTACGTTAGTGAAAAGAATGGAAGGCCAAAGCGAACAGACGCGGCAATCATTGATCGCCGTGACTATTCGCTCCAGCGGGCTTAAGACGGAGCTCACCTGTTGGATCTGGCGGACGTCGACGGCCATCTGTCGCAACATCTGGTTGTAGGCCTTGGGGCTAGGCAGGTGGTGAGTTGAGTCGACAAGCCATGGGAGAGACCTTGACGGACGGCATGAACTGCCGCCAGTCGATGGCAGGCAGGTTTGCTCCCGAGACAGCTGATTCGGTGACGGCTGATGGATGGTTAGCGTGGTTGAAAAGTCGCGGTAGCCGTCTTGGGCGTCACTCACGGTTGGTGTCTTGGGGGCGGGGGCTCTGGTCGGGCGCGGACATGGTGGTCAAGAGGCAAGAGTGTCTCGTACTAGGGAGGCTCTCGACCCTGAAAATTGAGGGCATTTATATGGTGAACATGCCGGAAGAAGTTTGATCGCGGCAGATCACGGAAGGAACCGAACAACCAAATGAATAAGACGTGGGAACATAACTCTATGTCTCCGCGGCTTTAATAATAAATAAACGAGACGTCGACTGTTGGGCTTAGACCTGACGCAGTGAGACTGTCGCGGGATTGACCAGGAGGTCAAAATTAGTGTTCCTGGGAGATGATAGGCTGGCTACCAGACGCGCTCTGCACCAGCTCTGTAAGGGCGTATTTTTGCGCTTTTTACAGAGTTTACTCTTGAACCACTCGGTGTATCGTGTCGCGGTTAACAGTGTTGCGCTCAGTAGGACTTATGGGTCTACTGCCCAGTCGACGACTGTGGATAGTGTCAACGATAGCAAGGCAGTCAGACCACTACTGTGGAACTGGTCTTATGAGTCTACACCAGGCTCAGGGCCATTAGTGACAAACGCTTGGACCGCGACCATTCCCCAAAAAGGGATATGTCGTTGCGTCGACTTCTCAAAAAGGGTCATTCTCTGCAGATGGGAACTTGGGCTGAAGGGCTGAGCAATGCGCGACGTTCTCAATAATAGAACTACTACTGGACAGGACTTGGCGTTACAAGACTTAAACCATCTTGTCGCGGCAACTCCCGGTTTTGAGTTGGACGTTTCCTCAGATCATGCCACGACGACGACTTGTCACATGTCAGGATCCATTCGATCACGGGACATTGTGGACGCGTCGCGGTGACACTTCCAAGTGTCACGGCGAGTCGCGCCCATACTCAAACACACTAAAATCGATACGGCTAGATCCGTGAACCGAGCCATGTGGGAGACGATTGGCGTGCCTAGAGCCATACGGCTTCTTGGGGCGCCCATGTTGGTCTCACATGCCAAGACATACCCGTTGGCCAATCCAGCACGTCGTATTCCAAAAGTATGACGCGGTGAGTTGGCCCACATCGAAAGTATCATATGGACAATGGGGCGGGGTCCTGATCACTCAGGACCTGTCCGATCGTTCAACTTTTCAATTACCCTAAAAGGCAACCGATCTTAGATAGCGTAGCTACTATGCAGTTGTACAGGACTTTACTAAGCAGCGTCGTAGACAGTATAAGTAGCACGTCGTCTCTTTGTATTGGGGAGCTTTCCCCCGGACTGTGAATCACTCTCATTTCAGATTGTTTTGTACAATTTGCGTGCCGCGTGATTCCACCCTAAGAAGTTCTGCTACCCCTGCCCGGTCGCGACGAGCTGCTCCCTGAGCACTTGTAGCTACTGTGATTTGAGTTTGAGTTGAGATATCAGAAAGTCGGGTTCGCTGCATCTGGTATTGTCGCGGCATTTAGTGTCGTCGCCTTCGGGCTTTGTTGAGATCGTTCCACACCTCTAGCTTGGCAGTGCGTCGACTAGTTGTGCTTGGGTTGTTTTGGTCAGTTGGCAGTGCGTCGACTTTAGAACTTTGGTTCCACACTTCTTGCTTGGCAGTGCGTCGACAAGTTGTGCTCGGGTTTTGGACATTGGATATTGGCTGTTAGTTGGCAGTGCGTCGACGCGGCATTTTGGTTCTACTAGTTGGCAGTGCGTCGACTCAGTACTTTTGGTTGTGTCAGTTGGCAGTGCGTCGACTTGATATTTAGGCTTTGCGTCGCCATCTGGACGCTGTCGCTACAAGGGATCTTAATACTTCGTATTAAGCTCTGACTTGTTATATTGTTGTTGTGGATTGGATTAGTGTTGGTTGTGGTCGTATAGAAGATATTGGTTGAGACACCATTGTTTGCTATATATATATATTCTTGTCGTCGACTCCGTCTCCGCGACTATTGGATCTGCGTCTATTGAGAGTTGTGATACTGGTGCTCTGTCCACCCCGAAGCCCTCGCACCTTTCACACACTGAGAAGCTGATTACGAGGAGTGTGAACGTGTTTATATTTGGGTTTACTTTCATAGTAGATTCACTTGTGAGCACGCCCTCAGCATTTCAGCGGAAGGGCGAGGTAGGGGTTGGAGGGCCCGGGTTCGTTTTGATGCGCCAGATCGGGCGACGATGGTACGATGGGGGGAGGGGATGGACTCCCAGATGACGATGGGAATCGGTACGAAATGGTGGATTCGCGTGCTGTACAAGCACTCGAGGAAAGGTTCTTTTGCTAGCAAAAAGATCCCGGGCCTAGCTCTTCACGTGCCCAATGATCCCGAGGTGCGTTTTCCCGAAGGTCTCCGCAGCACTCCTTGTAGCTACCGTAAGGCTTGGGTCGGGCTCAACGTTACCCGTGGCCTGGTGCTGTTTGCTTGATATGAACCCTTCACTGTGATCGCAAAGAACGACTAGATGATTCGGTAAAAGGGTAAGTGGGATGATAAGGGTGAAGAGGATATAGCGGGCGTAGCGGTGCAGGATGCAGGGTAAGAGGTACGAGGTAGGAGGGTATGAGGGGAGTCTTCGAATTATGTGACAATCAACCTCAAAAGCAAAGTCGAAAAGAGAAGTGAATTCGAAGACTGGAGAACACAACCAGATAGCTACAGTATTTATACCCAAATCCAGTCTGAGTCATATCTACAACTAATGAGTCATAGGGCTATGTACTGCATGGAGCACTGGTCATGGGTTGTAGTAGAACCTTCCGGAGCATATGTCGCGCAGCCTTGAATCGATAAAGATGACCCTTATCTTCCTAGCCCGGACCGTCAGATGCCGTGATCCGCAATAAGATAATCCGTGTCGAGATAAGATAAGATTGTCAAGGATAAGATGAAAAAGAGTCAAATTATGACAACACTGATGATAATTTGTGAGCGCTTGGGCAATCACAGCTTCCTGTGTATCATCTGTAGACTGTGAGAAAAGACAGCGGAAAGGCAGGACGCAAACATACTCTTCCGGTGCTGGTTGTTTCCACTGGGATTCTGATTGTGATCTCATAGTTTGACCCTTATCTTGACATGGATTATCTTATCACAGATCACAGCTTGACACAGTCCAGGTTAGGGGTACAAAGGGTTATCTCTATCAATTCAAGGCTGCACGACATATGCTCCAGAAGGTTCCACTACAACCCAAGACCTGCATTCCATGTGGTACATAGTCTCATGATTCATTAGTTATAGATTAGACTCAGACCGGATTTGGATATAAATACTGTAGCCACTTTGTTGTATTCTCCAGTCTTCAAATTGACTTCTCTCTTTGACATCATTTCTTGTTGATTGTCACATGTGAGCACTGTCTGTATTGCCCTTGCCATGTTTAAACTGTTTTGCCATGATCACTGTTGTGTCAAGACTCAAGAGGGCTATCCGTTGGTCACATGTGTGCCAAAGTTTTTTGTCTCCATGGCTGAAGCTCTGAAGAATTATACAAAGTGTGGCACACTGCATTCACAGCAGGAATCATCTAGGAAAAAAACTGGGAATATGTGCTACCATCCATTGTAGATTTACACTCCCTTGATGTGATCACCAACAGCGATAGTGGCTCAGTATCACCTTGAACGTCATTGCGTGCCTACCAGTCAGCACATACGTGACCCAGACCTGGGTTGTCAGGTCACACAGATAGCCTGACCCGACCTGACCTGGGACAACACTTCTAATGATAAGTCACATGATATGTTTTGTTCCCCCCCTTCCTAACCCCCACATATGCTCTTACCCCACAACTGACCAAATGGCCCCTGCAGGGTCAGGCCGTGTGATGACAGTGGTAACATGTGCCACGTAGATTTTTAAAATTGGAATACTGTGAGCCTTTACCACAATTAGTTACTATTTATTGTGTAAAAAGTACAAGTGGTGTGGTAAGTAAAGGACATTCGACTATTATCGTACAATGATTCCACGGGTATTAATCCTCGCTTCTGATTTGTTTTGGACTCAGTATGTCCCGCCGGTGATCTGGGAGACAAGATTGAGCGAGAAGCGGATCCGGGTGATGAAATGACGTACCGACGCGCGGTCAGCCACAATGCTGTGCCCCTTGCCCGGCGACGTGACCATGAGGCTGGCGAAGTTCCAGTTTCCGGAGCACGCGCCGCAGTCGATGACGACGGACATCGCCCCGCTGTTGACTGCGACGGTCGTCGTGCTGCCGATGAATGCGACGTTCGAGATCGGGCCGCCGGTTCCTGGGGTGCCGTCGTTGGCGGGGTAGCTCTGGGTGATCAGGACGCCGTAATCCGTGATGCCCGAGATGATGTTCCTGGGGGGAGGCGTCGGACTTCGGTCAAGCGAAGACAAAGCGGGGGACGCACCCTTCGTAGACGACGTTCGAGACCTGTGCGCCAGTTGCGGTCGCGTCGACCTTGATGCGCAGGCCATACAGCCCGCCGCTGATCGTGTTCCCGACGGCCTTAAAGTTCGTGACGGACTTGCCGGTCGCGATCGACCCGATGGAGATGCCGTGGCCGCCGGTGCAGGTCGACTCCTCGATCGTGATCGAGTCGCCGGAGTTGACGGCGACGCAGTCGTCCTGGTTGAGCACTGTGCACTGCGAGACCGTCACGTCCGATGCGCTGATGTCAAAGCCGTCGGTGTTGTGGCCGAGCGCGGCGCCAGCGGCTGGTGGGCGGGGGTTGAGCCATCCACCCTCATAGAGAAAGAGACAGAGACTCAACAGTTGTCGACGGTGACTCGCTGGATCAGAGTCGCAGCCGTGGTTCCGACCGAGATGGCTTGCGCGGGGGAGTTGAGCACGGTCACGAACCCGAACGTGCCGGAGCCCTTGAATCTGCAGAAAGCGCATTCACATCCCATCCACGACAAATTCTGAACGACAAAGCGTACTTGACAAACGGATGCGGCTTTGTCACACCGCCGTTCGTGCCCTGGCCATCCCAGTAAGCCGCGCCGTTGCCCTGTGAGATTATCAGATCAGTGGAGTCAACGCCAATCGCAGTCGGGCGTACATTGATGTTGCGGTTTCCACCGTTGAAGTTGATGCCGGGGGTGTTGAACGTGATGAGCGGGCCCGCAGCTGTGGTACGCGATGCCGTCAACATCGCTTCGAAAATCTAGCTGCCAGTATTCACATGTTGTCTTCTCAAAAACGATGTCGCCTGTCATCCACACAGTCGCGCCGGTGGCAGCCTAGCAGCAAACATACATTGAGCACTGTGGGCGTTTTCGTCACCGTAGGCAAAAACCCACCGCAATGGTCACCGTCTGTCCGGAGGGCACAGTGAAGCCCTGGATCTCGACGCTCGTGCAGCTCTTGAGGTTCGCAGCGCTCGCGACGCTGTTGACGATGCATGTCGCGGCGCGGGGCATCGTGATATTGCTGGGTGCCGCAAGGGCTACCGTCGCGAGAGCAGCAAGTTGGAGGAAGGAAGCGGTAGCGGTCGAGAACATCTTTCGTCTGAGTCAAGTCGAGTCGATTCGAGTGCTGCTGGAAACCAGATACCAGACGAGCACTCTTTATACTTCCTTCCCCCTCCCGCTATTTCGAACCAAGCGGTCCGTGACGCCCCGCCGGAGATCGTTTGTACTTTTGCTTACAGTGAGATACAGGTCATGGCAGCGCGCGCCCTTCGCCGAATAGACACCGCAACAGGTATCAGAGAAGGCCCGCAGATCATGACGACTTCAACCGCTCACATGTCGTTCACAGGTCCCGGTCCACACCGTAGCATTTTAGAGTTCAGAAGCCCCAGCAGCTGGTAGAATCCCCAGAGGGGCGACTTCAGGCCGCCCCAGAGAGAAAAAAACATGGCAGCAGGAGGGGGAGAGGTCTAAAAACACTTACTGACTTCCTCCAATAGCATGCATCTGACAAATATCTGAGCAAGATAGGGTTCAGATAGGGATTGGTTACCGAAGTCCCAGCAAGTAATCAGCCTGACGCGTCCCCAGGCAAGGATGGAGAAATTAACTAACGAGTCCCGGCTAAGAATTAGGCTTCTGCGGCCCAAGCAAGACCGTCAACACCGAGCACAGATTCCGAGTTCGTGTTTCGCGCTTCAGCCTAAAAATACGCGCTGGAGCAGACCATACGTGGACGCTGGTCATGGGGCACCCCCACCGCGCCCTCCCCTTTCCCGCGGCCGTGGCACAGTGGGACGGCCGGAAATTCGGGTAGGGTTCGGAAATACTGGTCTCGAGGCCAACGCGGTTGATGCAGGGACCGAAGGTGCCGTAGCAGAATAGGGTTGCACGGGACATGATGGATCAGCGAAGGCGTATTTATATCCTGACACCTACTGGTCACCCCACCTTGGCGCTCCTCGGTGACCGATGCGCATCGGCGCCCGACGAGGCTCGGTGGCTTTTACGTGGTGCTCACCAGACTACTGGCCTCCCCGCAGTCGCGTTGCTGCGCCAAGCATAGATGGATCACAGGTCCACCGGCAATCCGCTTACCCACCGATGTTTCTGACACGCTCTGGAGCAAGGCCGAAATGTGGAGCGGGGGGCACCCAACAGGCAATTGGGCTCACACCAGGCGAGGATGAGGAGGAGACTAGGTGTGATTCAGTTCAGTTGAAGTATGTACATACAATGCGAGATAAATATTAGTTTGGTAGGGCGTGTCGGATAAAACGGCGCTCAGAGCCTTGTTGTCTTCTTCAGTAGGTTCCACCAGTGATCTGAATAGACGAAATCACAGCTCAGCGACAACCGCAGCCAACGGAACCAGTCCGACGCACCTTGGCATTGTTCGCGACAATGCTGTGGCCCTTGCCGGCGGCCGTCACATCGAGGCCAGAGAAGTCCCAGTTGCCGGAGCACGCGCCGCAGTCGATGACGACGGACATCGCGCTGCTGTCGACTGCGACGGTCGTCGTGCCGCCGTTGAACGCGACGTTCGAGATCGGGCCGCCGGTGCCGGGGGTGCCGTCGTTAGCGGGGTAGCTCTGGGTGATCAGGACGCCATAGTCGGTGATGCCCGAGACGACGTTCCTGGCAGCGGATCAGCGGCATGCAGCGGCGAACAAGATAGAGACGCACGCCTCGTAGGTCACGCCAGAGACCGATGCGCCAGTCGCGGTGGCGTCGACCTTGATGCGCAGGCCGTAGAGGCCGCCGGTGATCGTGTTGCGCGCGGCCTTGAAGTTCGTGACGGACTTGCCCGACGCGATCGAGCCGATGGAGATGCCGTGGCTGCCGGTGCACGTCGTGTCCTCGACGAGGATGTTGTTTCCGGAGTTGACCGCGACGCAGTCGTCCTGGTTGATGACCGTGCACTGCGCAATGGTCAGGTCGGACGCGCTCACGTCGAAGCCGTCCGTGTTGTGGCCGAGTGACGCTCCCGCGGCTAATGGTCCAGTGATGAGAGATTCGCTCGTTTGCGATGATCCAGTGACTCACAGTTGTCAACGGTCACGCGTTCGATGACACTCGCTGCGGTGGTCCCGACAGAGATGGCCTGGGCCGGAGAGTTGAGAACAGTCACGAACGAGAAGGTTCCCGAGCCCTTGAATCTGTGGACTGTGTGAGGACGTGCCGGATTGTTTTTTAAACCTGAACACAAACTTGACAAAGGGGTGGGGCTTGGTCACACCTCCGTTGGTGCCCTGGCCGTCCCAGTACAACGCGCCGTTTCCCTGCATCACCGATTAGACCATCCGCAGCCAGACAGAAGTGCAACCGGCAACGGACATTGATGTTGTGGTCTCCACCGTTGAAGTTGATGTTGTTAGTGTTGAACGTAATCAAAGGACCCGCCGCTAAGAATTAACATGGTCGCATGAGCACCGAAACGCGGGGCGGGAGGAATCTCCATACACGTCGTCTTCGCGAAAACGAGATCGCCAGCCATAGTGACGGTGGCGCCGCTGGCAGCCTGGTATCGGGCGGCAAAAGTTGAGCGTCAAACATCGGCGAGGCGGCGAGACAACCAACCGCGATAGTGAGAGTCTCGCCTGAGGGGACGGTGAAGCCCTCGATGATGACATCAGTGCAGCTCCCGAGGCTCGACGCGCTCGAGACGCTGTTGACTGTGCAAGTCGCGCGCTTCGCAGTCTCGGTTCTAGTGACGTTGCTGGGGGCAGCGATCGCTACGGACACGAGGGCTGCGAGTTGAAGGAAGGCAGGGACAGAGAACATCGAGGCGCTGGAAGGACTGTGAGTCGCTGGAGTTCAGTGCCTTGGGCCGAAGCTCTTTATACAAAACCGAACCGTGCGGGGTAGATCAGTGGGGAAACCAAGCGGTCCGCCCCCAGCGAGTATCACGGTCCGCTCGGTCGTCAGATCCAAAAACCCCAGGTCACACACCAGATCAGCGTCCCCTGCGCTGCCGGCCAACAACCCCCGAGGCAGGCCTACAGTTGCGACTGGACGAACCTTGTTTGTTCGTCTTCCTGATTTGAACACGCTCACATGCCCACCGGGGAGTATTTGCGTCCCAGGGGCTGCGGAGGAAGGGGGGGGTAGTCAGCTAACGACCGCTCGGTTACATGATGGCACGCCCCAGAAAGAGAGCAAGGGATCCAGACTCTGCCTCATCAGCGATAGACATCGAGGCTTAAAAAGAGATGCGCTTCTCCGCCCCCACCTGGCTCAGATCTGCGCAGCAAGTAACACCGAGCTGGAGGCAGCAGACTCTGCATAACCGGTGATGGATATGTATCAGCGCTGATGCAAAGAAAAATAAGATTTGACGCAAGCACAACTGGGCTGGACACAGCAGCGCCGAACCCGCTCTTGCCTGGCTTGTCGATGAGTTTCTGGGACCAGGGACCGAGACGATTACTTTTCGCAGCATGACATCGGCTCCTCGCAGACGCGGTCGCCTCAAAAACGTGGATGGACGATCTACGCGATGTCTCTCATTTTCCCCTGCCGAGGCCCGGCCAGTCGGCTAGGACTCGGAAATACTGGGTCGCCAGGCCAGCGGTACGCCCAAGATAGCCGTTCCCTGCTCCACGATTCGCACAGGATGTGTTGTTTGCGATACGCGCTAAGAATAGATCGAAGACTTTTAGGGCCTGCGAATCACACGACCAGCTGTAGTAATAATGAGGTGATAACAGGTGCAAGGGCCATAAAACACTCGACTTCACTTGTTCGTGCACGCTGGAGAGGGACACGATGTTGAACAAAGCGATGACAGGCCTCCACGGGCAGCGTGCAGTCGACCCCACAGAGCGAAGCACTTTAGGCTCGACGGAACCAGTGGACAGGAAGTCAGAGTTATGTCATCATGCGATGCCGAATTCTTGATAGACGCGGCTGGATTACGAATATGACAGGCCTGAGATTGATGCCATTAGGCCAGCAAAGCCAATAAATAAAATGGCCTGCTTGTCCTGCCGAATAAACTATCTCACCGCGACAGAGTGTTGGCGAGCGTCGCACTCTTAGTCAAGACGGATAGCACTCTATGCAATAAAATTGCCGTGAGGTTGTTTTCCCGAAAATGGGTTGTTTCTCAGAATACAGGAACACGATGTGTTAGACCAGATTTGCGTACACCCTCAGTAAGTGCGCACTCAAACACAGCGGGCCGAATGCTCAATAAATATGCTATCCTAGGAATTCTTGAATGGGAGAACATCTTGGGCGTACTCCGCGATTGGAAAAACACTGGCAGGTTGGTAAATGATGAAAGATGACACATCACGAATGTGCCCAGGAGCGCGACGCGACCACTTGTTCTTCGAAATCGACCACGATGAAGTGTAGCGCGTCTGCAACGGCAGCGACGTTCTAATCGACGTTGTAAGCAGGTCCCAAAAATGAGCCATATTCAAACTCCGACATGCGGGGTACGGAACGACAAGCCGGTATGCCATGTCTCAGAATCACGTGAATACATTCTTCTTCTCACCACAAACGACCTAAACACGTACAATGGATGACCCCGCAGCCGTGCCGCCGCCACTGCCGCCGCCGAAGAAGCGACGTCTGAGGAATGCGTGTGACCGGTGTAGTAGGCAGAAAAGTACGCGATCGTTGCGCGGTGATGTCAGGAGAAACTGCTGACGCGCCGAACTTGTATGATTAGCTAAATGTTCGCGCGTCGCTAGAGCCTTCTTTGAGCCATCGCGCTGACTGACCTCTGAAGGCAACAGCGCGGAAATGCCAGGTAGCAACAGTACATTCGCAGTGCGAGCCTGACGATGTCCCAGGGAACCAATGTTCGAATTGCATATCATTTGGGGTAAACTGCACCCATTCTCGAATTCGGCTCAAGAAAAACGCGAGGTCACTTGCCGTTTCACTCTATACTCCTATTTAAAATAACCCTAGTCTCTCTTGCAGTCTTGATAATGTGAGTCCTGAGCATAGCCTCCCGGGCAAACGGACCTGCTACTCCATCACAGGCGGCACTTTCAGCACGGGACCACATCTCTGCCATCCTCTCTGGCTCGCAGGATTACGTGTCTGCGGACCGCCTGGTTCTCTACAACGTTCTTGTCGCCGTCTGCCAGTATGCTAAACGGCTGGAGGCAGTCGTCGCGGTTCCATCCGAGGCGACGGCGGCCCCGCTGTCCGTCCCCCCGACCCGGACACCAAGCGAGAGCGACTCGGATCCCGGCTCGGACGACTCGGACTCGGACTCAGACTCGGGTGGGCTGCTGATCAACGCGAGCATGTCCGAGCCGATGAAGCTTCTCACGCGCGAAACGGGCATCAACAGGTTCTTCGGCAGGTTCAGTGGCATGACGTTCCTCAAGACTGTAGTGGCGGCCACTGGCGTCAACACCTCCGAAGCGGCGATCCACCGGCCCCGGTTCTGGGGCATCCAGCCTGTGAGCGACTGAGCCAGACTGATTTGTGCTCCGAATCTCACGCATCAGGATCAAAGTGGGAGATGACGCCAGAGATCTTCATGCCACAGTTCTTTCCCGAACCCGATCTCCTCGCGTCCCTCGTAGATCTCTTCTTCAGCCAAGTCAACACGATCCTTTGCATCCTGCACGAGCGCACGTTCCGCGACGCCCTGCGCCTCCAAGACCACTTTTGGGACCAGAAGTTCGGGACGCTGGTGCTGCTGGTGTGTGCGTTTGGTGCTAAATTCTCGTGCGATCCGCGGGTCTTTCCGGACGGCACCCCCGACTTGCTGAGCGCCGGGTGGAAGTGGTTCAACCAGGTCAAACCGGCGCTGTCCGCCTTCCTCACGACCGGCGCGTCGTCGCGCGCGCTGCATGATCTGCAGGTCGTTGCGGTGCGTCCCAACGAGTAGCCAGTCGTTTATTGCGTCATTCATATCGCAATTCTCCTACTGTAGCTGAGCGCGCTCTACGTCTCGAGCGGCTCGCGCCCAGAGGAGACCTGGATGCTCGTTGGGCTCGGGCTCCGGATGGCGGTCGACGTGGGCGCCCACCGGCGGATCCGCTCGACGCACGACTCCCCCGCCGAGGCCGAGATGTACAAGCGCGTCTTCTGGCTGCTCATGATCTGCGACGTCGAAACCCACGCGCTCCTCGGCCGGCCCCGCGTGTGGGACCTGAAGGAGTGCGTGCGTGCGATTGTTGGGCCCCGCGCTGATCGCTGTTGGCAGTTTTGATGTTGAATACCACGCGCCGTTCGCGGACGAACATCCTCGGTTCGCGGCGTATGGCCAGCTGATGATCAAGCTCATGACGATCTTCCGGAAAATGCAGGATATGGTTCGGCAGATGTTTATTCGCTGGTCTCGATGCGCGCTGAATGGGGCGTGCTAGTTTTTGATTTTGACTAGGAAAGAGCAGAGCAACCACCAGGAAATGGTGGCTGAGCTGGAGTAAGGGCTCTCGCTCGCCGATCGCTCCCGGACTATAAACTGACCCTGTGATAGCTCAGATCTCAACCAGTGGCTCAGCTCCGTGCCTCTGGATCGTAGGTTTCTTCTTCTTAGACCTCAACGGGACCTCATTCTTCCGAGTGAAATGGAATCCGGAATGTCAGGATCTGATCCAGCTAAACCAGTCAGCGTCCCTGCATATGGCTTATTACGTGAGTCTCACACTGGGCTTCTCAGGAGGGCTACTATTGATTCGATTCCCAGCACGGTAAGATCCGATCCAACCGTCACCAACGCCACACACACACACACACACATTCGCATCCCCATCAGTCCAGATCGTCGTGCACCGGCACTTCATCTCTTCCAAGTCACCCGTGCGTCTCATCTGCAATCCGAGTTCCAGTGCACTCCGAGACGCAAAAACAGACATCGATCGCCTCACTCTCGATCTGCGCGGCCGCCGCCCGCTCGTGCAGCCGCGTCGCGGAGGTGCAGCTACGGCGCGGCACCGGGCCGCTGTACAACCCCCAAATGCTGGTCCGTCCACGCCACTCCTCCTCCTTCACTCGCGCGCTCAGCCACACTTCCAAAACTCTTTCTCTTTGTGCCTTTTCCTTCCCTTCTTCTTCTTTGGAACGCGCAGTCCGCGCTGTACAACTCTGCCATTGTGCTGGTCCTCAGCAACGCGCGCGAAGCGGATCCGGACGTGCAGCGGTGCCTGGACGCGCTGGCCGCGTATGAGCGGTCGTGGATGATCGCGGGTCGGGACGTGTAAGCCCGTTTTCACTGCGCCCCCATCACATCGTAACGGATACCCGGGCAGCGACACGCTCCATGCGCTGATACTGGCCAAGGCGAACGCCCGGAAACCGGCGGCTTCTGGATTGAAGCGGGGACGAGAAGAACTAGACGAAGCAGGAGAGGGAGGAGAGGGGGCTGTGGATCCCGTGGGGTCGGCGTCTGACTTCGACTTCGAAGCGCAAATCTCCTTTTTCGAGTCTTGGATGTTCAACGGTCCGGCCGACCCCAACATCTTGCAAGCCGACACGATGATGTCGTTCGATCCTCAGCGTGGCTTCGGTGGTGGGTCGCCAGACGCGCTGTCCGTCCGGCAACTCGATCGCTTACTTACATGCATGTGCGGCAGATGCGAGCCTGGATGTGGTCCAAGATATGAGTCATTTGTGAGTCCTGGTTGCATTTGGCACGTGACACTTGAGTAACTCATATGAGCTTGTTGCGACTTAGGTGGAGTAGAGGCTCATGAGAGTTGCTCTGGAGGGCAAAAATTACTGTCACTACGGCAACTATAGTAGGTTAGGGCTGGATACAGCTTTAATGAAAAGTTCATGCGCTGGGATGGATTCATTCGACACCAAAAATTAATGTATCGCGGAACACGAGTCCTGACTCTCAGACGGGGAATCGAACCCCGGTCGCCCGCGCAATCCACTGAATGACAGGCGGGAATCTTGACCATTGGACCATCTGAGATTGTCGCCCACTTCTGGCTGGCTGACCAGTCCGGCGTAAAATTCCGACATGAGATCATTAAGATGCGGAGAAGCCTCATGTAGACTCAAAGTCAGTCAGTTCAGGCAGCCAGTTCTACCGTGGCTGCTGGTGTGACCTACTGAACACGAGGTTATTGGTACCTTGTAAGTATATTCCCTCGCGCAGCTCCTCAGAGTCACCTGGCTTTCAACAGATCCGATTTGGTAGCCAATCTCTTGCCGAGACGTAAGGATCACTCGATAAACTCCATCTGAAGACTACAACGAACTGTATACATTCATTGAAACAGCCCAACCACTGGGAAAGAGTATCGTTCGTTTCTGCTTAGAGAACTGTTAGCAAGGTGCTACTTTGGAGGCCTGGATGTTTTACCCAAAGGAGATAAATTGCAACCAGTCTCTCGGTTCTCTCGATTCCAGTGATTCGTATGCAACCCAGTTCGGTTGAGTGCCGGTTGAGGCAGTGTCGTCGTCGAGGCTAGTCTCGGATGTTACCATCACACACCGGCTAATCGCGGGCCGACGCCTGGCGACGCGTGACGAACTGCTGCCTAGTTTGTCCACAGCCACCCTCCTTCTCACAGCCACATAAGCCATTCTCAAAAACCCACGCTTCACCACAATGTCGACCGACCTCGAATGGCTCCTCGTCCGCGTATGCTCCCCCATGTGGCCACCATGTACCCTACCTGAATTTACCCGCCGTTTGTAGAAGGGAAACGCGTACACGGTGAAGCGCGGCGCTGAAGTCGGTGTCACCTTCTCCAAGGAGCCCGTAAGTCAGTTCGGTGCATGTGGTGGCGAGAGCGCGTGTTGACAGTGTGCTGTTTGCAGGCCAACCTGCGTAACATCCACTCGCACAAATACTCCGGTCTCGCCAACGCCAAAGTGGGTCTACGCAGCCTCTCCGCTTCCTCGTGGGTGCATTCTGACCTGTGCGCAGACCATCGCGATCACCGACTCCGGCAACGGCATCGAGATTGTTTCGCGGAAGCAGAAGGCCGCACCTGGCGCTGTCGCCAAGGCCTTGTCGAAGGACGTCATCCGCCCGCGGTCTGGCTCGCGCCGCGCCGCAGGTATCGTGGCTCTGATCGCGGCCAAGAAGGCTGGCCGACCAGATCTCCGCACCGTGCGTAACAACTTCCTCTCCTTTCGATCTACCCCCTCCGCCTCCTTTTCTTGTTTCTCTCTTTCTCGTCGCATTCTCGTTAGAACCCACTGGACGTATGGATGAACAGCTGGGCGTGGACATGTCTGCAATATAAACCCCCATCCCGTCGGAGCCGATCAAACTCCTGTGGATATCGCGCCATGTCGCTATCGGGCCTCGTTCGTTGCAACCCGCGATGAGTCCGACTCTTTGGCACTAACATCCCTTTCTTCTTTTCGATCACTCTGCATGCGCTGTTGTTCCGTGCTGACACGTTGTCTTGCAGGCTGCGCTCGCCCGTGTATCTGCACTGCTTGCGGCCCAGAAGGAGCCCAAGGTGTACCCGGCGAAGAAGTCCCGGTCGAAGAAATCAAAAGCTGCCCCTGCCGCCAGCGCCCCTCGCAAGGCCAAGGCCGGCGGAAATGAGGATGAGGAACTGCCCGACCTTGTGTAAACTGTACCAGTGCGGCTGCAGTTGTGGACGTGGTCTATGTGTTTTCGCTATGTTGCCTGTAATCATCATGTCTCTATGCGAACGAGTGATTTTTGAGCAGCCTGTGACTGACGCCTAAACTCTCATTCTGGATGAGTCATGTCCCACCAGAATTAATCCCGATACGACCTCTCCCCTGACCCATACCCTGCCATTCTGATTGACCGAAAACTCGGTGTCGCCTGTTTCTCCCCGTGCAAGCACGCGGTGCAACTGATGGCGCGTTGATCTTGAATAATCTGTCACGGGCTCGCGCCTCGGGCCCTCAACAACCTCCGAGCTTACGCGGCATGCGGCGTCTTGCCGTCACTCACCCCGACGCCCGCCCTGTGTGTCCGACAATCAGGAGTCCCGGGGGAGTGCCCCCACCAAGGCCAGGCACCTGCCCCCCTCTCCTATTTCTGAGCGGTTGCAAAGGGCTGCAGCCAATCGAATCGTGTGGCTCTCTCTTAGCGCAAGCTCCTGAGTGCGTGCCACCATCTGTCCTCGTCTAGTAAGGAGCCACGGTGACCCGCGTACCCGAACCGGTCCCCCCCCTGCCTGCGACGCGATAACCGGGCGCAGATTCGTCGTTCGTTCCCGCCTCGTTCGGTGCACTTTTGGCCTGCGCTATGTATGGTATGCATCTGATGCGCCGCAGCTCGGACGGGCTACTTGGATTCATGGAAGAAGCGCGAGCCCAAGGATGATGATGATGACACACCACCCCACACCACACTACCCTTCGGATGCCGATGCCACACGAAAATTTTGGAATTGCTGTCAAAATCTCAGCTTTCCCGATCGGGCGATGCAGACTGGAGAAATGAGAGCGTATAAGTATGACCCGGCCAGGTCCTCGCCTGCTCTCCGGCCGCGCTCGTCTCCTCCCACCCAAGTACCCCTCCGCCCCTCCACGCACCGACCGCCCCACCTGTCCTTACCGCAAGATGACCGTGCAGAACACTGTTGGGCCCATGGTGCTGGGTGCGCTCTTCGCTTCGATGTCAGCGGCACCAGCTTTCCGTTCCGCGCTGTGTTTCAGGCTTGCTGACGACGATGCGCGCGCGCAGGTTGAGCGGATTCGTGCACCTGACGGCGTTCTTCTACTACCGGACCTACCGCGAGGACCCCATCCACTTCAAGGCGCTCGTGAGTCTGCTATGGCGCTCGGATACTGCACACACACTGAGGATTCGTTTGTTTCGGACAGGTCGGAATCGTATGGTGAGCGTGTCCGCAGCTCGCTGCAATTAGTGTACCGACAAACCAGGCTCTTGGACACTCTGCACACTGCGTTCATCTGGGAAGGGATATGGAACTACGTGATACCCCAGATCGGGAACGAGAATCTCCGCCTGGACCACATTCCCGGTGGTGTGCCGGTGAGTAGCTGTGGATGGCTCCGGCGTGCTGCTGCTCAAGTGCTGCAGATATCTGTGCTTCTGACGGCGCTGGTCACCTTCTTCGTTCACAAGTGAGTGCTTTGCGTCCTTGGTTTGCGTGTGTGGCACTGACGACGCACCAGTTTCTTCGCACACCGCATCTATCTTCTGAGCAAAAGGAACTGGATGTTGGCGACACCCGTTGTACGACCCCATTCCGTGCGTCTGGTCTGTGAGCGGTGCTGACAACCGCAGGTCGTTCTTGCAGTCCTGCGACTCGCCTCCGCGTCCGTCTCGACTTGGGAAATGTGGGTGTATTCGAGATGACTGGCAACCGCGACCCTGAGCGACTTGTCCCAGGTTCCACTATCAGAGCTTCGAAGGGTTCAAGATCCATGCCAACGTGCGGCTGCATCCCTCCCACGCGCGACTCACTCTGACTGACAGCGCTGCAGTGGATATTCACGATGGGTCTCTCGGTCTCGTCTGCGGTGGATGTGTACATCACAGGCGCTCTGTTTTATCTGTTCCAGTCTAACCGTTCGGAAACCTCGCCGTCAGTTGTGCTGTGGCTCGCCGATGTAGTATGCTGACCTCGTCCACAGCTTCAACCATGTCATCGACCAGCTGATTCTGTACGCTTTCGAGGCGGGGAGCCTGACGACCATTGGGACCATCGTCACCATGCTCTGTGTCAGTCCCCGAGCAGATCGATACCGCGCGCAGGGAAAGTGCTGACCATCGGCCGCAGTGGGTGACCATGTCGACCAACCTCATTTTCCTCGGAATTCACTTTGTCATCGGCAAACGCACGTCCCGTTTCTCCTCTCCGGTCACCAGGATCTGACCCTCTCCGCACAGTCTACGCCAACTCGCTCCTGATTACGTGCGTGATGGATACAATCGCGGTAGCGCAGCGCAACTGACGCGACAGCAGTCTCAACACACGCGAGAACATCCGCCGCGCGCGCGCAAACACGTCGTCCGGCGACCGGGAGCGGGGCCAGGTGCTGTTCCTCGAGTCCCGCACGAACGGCGGGCCGACCACGCCGCACCTGAGGACAACGACGATACCTTACTTTGTGCGTCATTCTCTCTCTCTTTCTCTCGGCAGCATAAGCCGTTGCTTACGGGAAGGACTCGGACACAGACTCGGTCGAAGACCGGCCCCAACTCGCCCGCAGTAAGTCTCGTTCGCGCCGGCTCGGTATCGCCGATCATCTGACGTCTGCGCAGGAAATGCAGATCAACGTCCAGACGAGTGTGCAATTCGATGGCGACGGGACGTCCTCCCTGGATGCCAAGTAACCCATTTATTTTGTTTATTGTTGTATTTCTGCGGTACATTAGACCATCTATTCTTCCTTTGGGGTACTTACATTACAATACATACGGGGTGCGTGCGGGGAACATCTGCTTGCTCTCGGGAGCAATCGCGTTCATGGAGTTGTAGAGCAGCATTTGCAATGCCATATATGTATGTACACGTGCCTCCCCGCCAGCGGAGTCAGTCTCCAGACAGTCTACTCATCAGCTATCGTTTTAACATCGGGCAGATCTAGCCGGCTTGTGTATTGCAAATACTGGTGCGGAGAATTAAGAAGCGCGGAGATTCTCCACAAGATCTCCGCAGGATAATTACATGGCTTGTTCCGCTGGGTCGGGATTACGAGGCACTTCGGATTTCTCACCGTTGGTTGCATAATACATAATACCGCTTGCCAGTGATTCGGGCAGCTGCGGCCCTTCAATCACATGTGGAAGGTGTTTCAGGATTCCGGAATTCGGAACCATTTGGAATGTCCGTCCGTACAGCCGCTGGAAAATGCATGGACATCTGACATGGATAATTGATCCCTGGTGAAATTTCATTTCCAAAGGGATATCCCGACTCGTGACCGACAAGTTGTGGGTCTCATCGGAATCTGATCGAGCGGCGAGGAAAGGGAAAGTCGAGCTTGTCGGTTTCGCCCTCGCTACTGAGGAGTGAAATTTGAAAGGCTGCAGAAAAAAGATGGCTCTGAGCCTCGGATCTTGGATATCCCTGCGCATATGTCCATGACGCGTGGAGTCGGAAAAGTTAGAGGTGCGATGTCAGCTCGTGACTCTCACGTGATCGCGATGCCTTGAACGAAACTCCCAAGCGGAGCGGGACGGAGAGCTCACTCGTGCCAGAGTCTTCTGTTTGCTACTCTCCCGGAAGGGATGGGACGAGCCAGTGCGACTCTTGTCATTGGCATCCGCCGCCCGAGAGATGCTGTCCCTGTTCAACAAATACGGACAAACACCCATTGTTCTCTTTCTGTAACAATGCGCGTTCATTTGCCCGAAGCCATTGTCCGATGTATAATGGCGCTATACGTATAAGAACCTCGGACGAGTGTGGGGGACACCAAGACTCCCAGTCTCTTACCTCCTGCTCGTCTGCTCTGCTCCTCCGTTTCGCTTTTTTCGACGTTTCTACCTGCACGACCTTCACATTCCCATTCTCATTCCACGGCTACGACCTTCACGCTTGACACGCTAGATTTTGCATCCATCGCCGGACGATACCTCACAGATCCAATTCTCACGACCATGTGCTCATCCTCCAACGTCTCAGCCGTCGCGCACGTCGTGGCCTACCTCACGAACCCCCTCCGCTCTATGCAGACCATCCCGCACACCAGCATCACCTCCGCCCAGGTCATCCTGACCGCATCCCTCTCCGGCACGCGTGCGCCGTGCACCACCCTCACTCTGACTGTCGCGAAACCCCCGCCAGCGGTGTTCGCTGCATCGATCGGGTCGAATATTCCCTGGGCCGTGTGGTTCGCCGCGCTCGGCGGACAGGCGGACGAGACGATCTCGATCGTGTTCGGGCCGCGGTTCGTCAAGGCGCGGGTTGGCAATGGAGCGGTGGTCGATGTGTGGAGGTGGAGCCTCTCGAATGGTGGGAGTGTCCAGGAGCAACAGGCGAAACCAGCCAAGGTGCAGGATGCTTCTGCTACTGTTCAGGATGAACAGCCGACTCTTTTGCGCCTTCGAGCCACTCTGTTTGCCGCGCGCATGCGGACAATACGCCGTCAGCCTGTGAACGATGACGCCGCCAGCAGCAGCAGCAGCAGCTCGGACTCTGAAAGCGACTTTTCCGACTCCGAAAGCGATACCGCTTCGTCCGTGACCTCGTATCGGATTTCCTCTCCCGTCCAAAAGCCTGCGCCTGCGACAGTCAGGCCCACTTTCGCCCGTCGTCTGCCAGCTCCCTCGGCTGCTGTGCAGCAGCGCTCGGCCAAACCGTCCCCGAAGGTCTCCTACCTGTACCAGGGCGGCGTGACTCTCGTCATGACTGGCGGTGTCATGCTCGGTGGTGCCCGCTCCTGAGGACGAATCTTCCGACATTTATCTCCGAACGATGACAAGAAACGATTTCCTCGCTTGTATAGACATTCATCATGTAGCATCAGCAATTCCTCTCAGCCTCCCATCTGTATTTTTATGCCTTACTATAGAACCAGCAATCAAATATCGTTGCTCTTCACTGTTGTGTTGTGTCGAGTTCCGCGAATCGAAGCTGTAATTTAGCTCGGGCAGCTGCTTGCGAATTTCGAAGGGATCCAGCCAAGTTCTTACACCGTGGCGGTGTCGGTGATAACTTACCGTTCTCGTCATCGTCCGTAGCCGATTGGGGATTCGTCTTTCCTTTGATTCCTACCAACACCTCTTCTCATCGTCGCTGGGCAAGGACCGGCCCCTTCGACTCTTTCGAAAATGCCGTTGGTCCTGAATAAACCCACTCGATACGTGCTCCTCGTCCTAGGCCTGATCCTCACCTCGCACTTCCTCCTCTCCGCCACCCACGAGCCCTACAACCGCGCGACATCCCTCTCCTCCCTCACCGCCGGCTGGCGCAAAGAGCAGTCGAAGTACACCGACTTCGCGGTCCCTGCGCAGCCTGTGATCGAGCCGCTGCCGAAATGGGCCATCGCAGGGCACAGCGGGAACTCCACGCGCGCGAACGCCACGTTCGTCATGCTCGCGCGGAACAGCGACGTCAACGGCGCGGTGCAGAGCATCAGGAGCATCGAGGACCGGTTCAATCGGGACTATGGGTACCCGTATGTGTTTTTGAATGAGGAGCCGTGGACGGACGATTTTAAGAAGTGCGTACGGTCGCTCGTCGACTTGGCTTCCTTGATTGACAACCCTGTTTCTTTCTCAGGCGGGTCTCAGCCGTCACTCGCGCCCCGGTTTCGTTTGGCGTCATTCCCCGTGACTGGTGGTACCAGGTGAGCAGGGCCTTGTCCACTTTCGCCGTCCACTGAGACACACCAGCCGGACTGGATCGACGAGACCAAAGCCACGGCCGGCCGTAAAAAGATGGAGGACCAGGGGATCATCTACGCCGGGAGCGTGTCCTACCGCAACATGTGTCGCTTCAACAGCGGGTTCTTCTTCAAGCACGAGCTCCTGCTCCCGTACAAGTGGTACTGGAGGATAGAGCCCGACGTGCACTTCCACTGCTCGCTCACGTTCGATCCGTTCTTGTACATGGAGGAGCAGAAGAAGGTGTACTCATTCACGATCGCTCTGTACGAGTGGGCGCCGACGATCCCCACGCTCTGGGACACCGTCAAGGATTTCATAAAGAAATACCCGGAATACGTGGCACCGCGGAACGCCATGGGCTTTGTCAGCGACGACGGCGGTGAAGGATTTAATATGTGCCATTGTAAGCCTGTTGTAGTTCTCTCTTGCGTGCGCGATTTGACGAAAGCGTCCACCTTTTTCCAGTCTGGTCCAACTTCGAGATCGCTGACATGGACTTTTGGCGAGGCGAGATCTACACCAAGTTCTTCGAATTCCTCGATGCGACGGGCGGGTTCTATTACGAGGTGCGCAGCAGTTCCATCCGATAGCGCTAGTCCGTTGACTAGGTCTTCGATCAGCGGTGGGGCGATGCTCCAGTCCACTCGATCGCCGCCGCGCTTTTCCTGGACAAGTCCAAGATCCACTTCTTCAATGAAATCGGCTACGAACACCCCCCGAACCAGCATTGTCCCACTGACAACGATGTCTGGACGAAAGGCATGTGCGGATGCGATCCTGGCAAAACACATGGTATGTCTTATCTCATCCGGGTCTATTTCCTCGTACTGAACAAACGGCTGCTCGTAGACTATAATATGTATTCATGTCAGAGACAATGGGACCGGATCTTTGACTGATATATCTACTCTACTAATAGACTTGTACTCATAATTTATCGGCTGTAGAAACTAGCGATCATGTCGGCGGCACTCGATGCTGCTAGTGACTCCAGTCGGGAAATGCGGCCAGGTGGGGATGCAACTGTTACAGATTCTTGGTATTATAGACCTCTCTCTACCCGAACATACTGTCATCGGCCCAAGCCGCGTTAGACAAGGCCCCTCCATAGACATCCTCGTCCATCCCCGCACCCGGCCACGAGCTCTCTCCTCCACCCTTGATGGCTTTGCTGACAAAGTCCCGGTTCCTCGCCATTTCCATCTCCAGTTCTTCCAATAGTGCGCTCTGCTGCTGTGCGCCCGAGAGCACAGCATCGACTTCCTCCCGCGTGAATTGAGGCGGCGGGTCCGAGAACGTGACCGTGCCCGAAGCAGAGATCTGAGCTGAGATGTCTCCCGTTTCGATCTTGATCAACGCATGAGCCTCGGTATGCAACATACATACACGTCATAATAGAGTGCACACGCACCATGCTCAGGAGCAGCCCCCGAACCTCGTCCTCGCTTGGAATCCCGACCAGTCGTGCGATGTCTTCCAGTGAAAGCGTGACATAGGTTGCGGTCAGCTTCTTCAATGTCCACCGCGGCGCCCGATCTACCGCCTGTGTGACCAGCCCAAGTGTCTTTTCCTGCCCCAATCGTCAGCAAACAAGTACGCACACCCATCTCAGGGTGGGGGAAATGGACACACCGTGGAAAACGTCTGCTTCTCCTTACTCAGGAGCCCGTTCAGCTTCTCCGTGTTCTGCGGGTAGAACGCGATGAGATCTGCGTAGACTGAGTTCTTAAGCATGCGCGCAAGGGATGGGTGCGCGTATTTCGGCAGCGGCGACACCCCTCCCCGGTGAATCAGCTGCACGAGCCGCATTTTCTTGAGGGCCTCCAGCTGGATCGCGGCGGGAACCGCCCCTGGTGCTGTCACGCAGATCTCGAAGAACTCCTCAGCCGCAGCCCACTGTTTGAGTAACGCCAGGATGATGCCGCCGAGGTAGTGATACAGAAGGTTGTCATTGTACGTCAAGTCGGAGAGGGCGGTTGAGATGTTGGCGATCGGGCATCCGAGAACGGGGAGTGCGGCGGTGGGCTGGTTGGCTGCAATGCAGACCTAGTAGAGAGGATATTGTAAGACGTGGAATGTGCTTGCAGAGAGGGACACGCGCACTTGAAGGAAGATGGGATGGATGGTGGTTAGAAACGACAGATCAGTGGGATAATGCGTAAGGAGCTGCAGCAAAGGGTGTATAGCCCATGATGGCTATCCAGATGCGCAAGTCAATAGTGGTCGACCAGACGGGCGAAACAAGGGCCTACATTGCCCATATGATGGCTGAGTTTCTGGATTCCCCGCGCAAGCAGCGTGACTAGTGCGGATTCAGCCGACATCAAGATGAGAGCGCGACGATAATGACGCACCGCGTTCGGGTGCCAAACGCGCTTGCTCCGGTATGAAAGACTGGCAGAATGCGACCACTGTGTGCGGTGGCACGGGTGCATTCGTCATATTTAAGCGCGCGGACCTGGGCGCCCGCCGCTGAGAATGAGGAGGGAGAGGATCGCGAAGGCAGCCGGACGCACAAGAGATACAATACACCGAGCGTGTTCTGCCGCACGTCGAGCACCGACAGGGGATCTTGCCCGCTTCCCAACGGACTTGACAGGATCGTCTCCCTCGACTCCTTCGGTAGTCCGTTCTTGAGGGTGGAGTTCAGCGCCTGCAGGTTGGTGGAAGTGGTGATCTCATGTAGGATTCGATCGAGCGAGAGATCGGGCGCCATGGGGGAGAAACTGGGAAGCAATGAGACGAGGAACAAACACGCGTGGTGAGAAGAGGTGCGAGGTAAATGAGGTCTGACGAGACGTTGTAAAGATTCACGGGTAGAGCACCCAATGCCGAATCGGAGAGAGGTTAATGGAGCCAAGCTGTTCCATGGTAGAGCTAGAACATTGGACTGACCTGGATCGCTAAGTGAGGGGGATTCGGGGGCGGGACCGCGACGATGAGGCAGATCTCTTTCAGCGGAACGTTCTCGTTAGCAGATGAGTAGTGCGCGTGCTGCTTGCCTCTGCTTGGACATCAAGACCATCAGATGAAAGTGATCCGATCGACTACTTACTCGTCGGCATCCACGTCGTGGCGGCTTACGAGGACCATTTGGGCAAAGCTGTCCGGCTGATAGAGCTCCAAAGCACAACAACAAATAGCGAAGGAATAGAAATACAAGGAGATAGACGAGGAGACTAAAAAGTACAGATTTCTAAGCTGGATGGCTCAAGCTACAGGAAGTGGAACGGACTGGTACTGTGGGATACATCATATAAGAGACGGGAGAAAGGCTTAAGTCGTTGGTCGTTGAGATCTTCACGAGCGGGCACCACCGAGCATGACACCCCCGGTCATGACACGGGTGACACCACCCTGGTACAGGTAAGAGACCTTGGGGGTCGGTTTGGCCGAGCGCTGCTGCACAGCAGCCGAGGGAGCTGGCAGACGACGGGCGAAAGTGGGCCTGACTGTCGCAGGCGCAGGCTTTTCGACGGGAGAGGAAATCCGATACGAGGTCACGGACGAAGCGGTATCGCTTTCGGAGTCGGAAAAGTCGCTTTCAGAGTCCGAGCTGCTGCTGCTGCTGCTGCTACTGCTGGCGGCGTCATCGTTCACAGGCTGGCGGCGCATGGTCCGCATGCGCGCGGCGAACAGGGTCGCTCGGAGCCGCAAAAGAGTCGGCTGCTCATCCTCGGCGGTAGCCACTTTGATTGCTTTCTTTTGCGGTCGCTGTTGCGGAACACTCCCGCCATTCGAAAGGCTCCACCTCCACACATCGACGACCGCGCCGTTCCCAACCCGCGCCTTGACGAACCGCGGCCCGAACACGATCGACACTGTCTCGTCCGCCTGCCCACCGAGCGCCGCAAACCACACGGCCCATGGGATGTTCGATCCGATCGACGCAGCGAACACCGCCGGCGGGGGCGTCGCGAGCGTCAGAGTGAGGGTGGTGCACGGTGCGCGCGTGCCGGAGAGGGACGCGGTCAGGATGACCTGCGCGGATGTGATGCAGGTATGGGGGATGGTCTGCATAGAGCGGAGGGGGTTCGTGAGGTAGGCCACAACGTGCGCGACGGCGGAGACGTTGGAGGATGAGGACATGGTCGTAAGAATTGGATCTGTGAAGTATCGTCCGGCGATGAATGCAAAGTCTAGCGTGTCAAGCGTGAAGGTCGTAGACGTGGAATGGGAATGGGAATGGGAATGGGAAGGTCGTGCAGGTAAAAACGTCGAAAAAAGCGAAGTGGAAGAGCAGTGCAGAAGCGCAGGAGGTAAGAGACTGAGAGTCTTGATGTACCACACACTCCTTTGCGGTTCTTATACGGGTATCACCATTATGTATCGGACAATGGCTGCGGGTAGTGAACGCGCATTGTGAGAGAGGAATAAATATTTGTCGCTGCTTGTCAGTCAGGAGATGGTGGCACGTGATCAATGTTCAACCTACGGTTCGCCTCAAGTTTTTCTTGTCAACGTCCGACCACTTTGAAATCGTGCAGCACCTTGAAAAAAATTCCTTTAAATATTTTTATTCTGACTCGTACACTGATCCGCAGTTCATCATTCCAGTCAACCCAAACGAGGTTCGTGGTTGCCTTGATGTTCACCCTCGGGCTGTATCTCAGGGTCCATCCGCATCTTCACGGTCCAGTGGATGTGCACTCCTTGCGAATTTCACCGTGGGGGACATCGCGTCCTCGGCCACGGTATATTCTGGCAGCATCATCCCATCAATCCAAATTGGGAGCAAACGGGATCTGAGTGGAATGCTGAACGAGAGCATTTGCAGTCGCCACTCACATCATTGCTTTAGTCCACGTATCGGTCTTATCCTAGAGCCTGAGCCTCTGAGGTAAACATTCTAGAAGGTTGCTCCTGAGGATGGTTTGTGTTCAGTCTACTGTGACAGGCAGGTGTGTCCATAGGGCCACAATTCCCCACTCGAGTCAGCAGCAGCATCCAGTACCCCTGACATGATCGCTAGTTTCTACAGCCGATAAATTAGAGTACAAGTCCATTAGTGGAGTAGATATATCACTCGAAGATCCGGTCCCATTGCTTCTGACATGAATTCCCACTGTAATCTGCGAGCAGCCACTCAGTCAGAACGAGGACATTGGCCCGGATGAGATGAGACATACCGTGTGTTTTGCCAGGATCGCATCCGCACATGCCTTTCGACCACACGTCGTTGTCAGTGGGACAATGTTGGTTTGGGCGGTGCTCGTAGCCGATTTCATTGAAGAAGTGGATTTTGGACTTGTCCAGGAAGAGCGCAGCGGCAATCGAGTGGACGGGAGCATCGCCCCACCGCTGATCGAAGACCTAGTCAACGGACTAGCGCTATCGAATGGAACAGCCGCGCACCTCGTAATAGAACCCGCCCGTCGCATCGAGGAATTCGAAGAACTTGGTGTAGATCTCGCCTCGCCAAAAGTCCATGTCAGCGATCTCGAAGTTGGACCAGACTGGAAGATAGGGCGGTGATTGTCAAATCGTGCGCACACGAGGGAACTGCCTAACATCCTCACAGTGACACATATTAAATCCGTCACCGCCGTCGTCACTGACAAAGCCCATGGCGTTCTGCGGTGCCACGTACTCTGGGTACTTCTTCATGAAATCCTTGACGGTGTCCCAGAGCGTGGGGATCGTCGGCGCCCACTCGTACAGAGCGATCGTGAACGAGTACACCTTCTTCTGCTCCTCCATGTACAGAACGGATCGAACGTGAGCGAGCAGTGGAAGTGCACGTCGGGCTCTATCCTCCAGTACCACTTGTACGGGAGCAGGAGCTCGTGCTTGAAGAAGAACCCGCTGTTGAAGCGACACATGTTGCGGTAGGACACGCTCCCGGCGTAGATGATCCCCTGGTGCTGCAGCTTTTTGCGGCCTGCCTTAGCCTTGGCCTCGTCGATCCAGTCCGGCTTGTGTGATGACTCAGCAGACCGCGAAGTGGAGCAGCGGAAGCCAGGGCCCGCTCACCTGATACCAAAAGTCATGAGGAATGACGCCAAACGAAACCGGGGCACGAGTGACTGCGGAGACCCGCCTGGGAAAAATGATGCGGGGTTCATCAAAAAAGCGCAGTCAAGGAGCGACCGTACGCACTTCTTGAAGTCGTCCGTGAACGGCTCCTCGTTCAGAAACACATACGGGTACCCATAGTTCTCATTGAACCGGTCCTCAATGCTCCTGATGCTCTGCACGGCGCCGTTGACGTCGCTGTTCCGCGCGAGCATGACGAACGTGGCGTTCGCGCGCGTGGAGTTCCCGCTGTGCCCTCCGATGGCCCATTTCGGCAGAGGCTCGATCCCAGGTTGCTCGGGGACCGCCAAGTCAGTGCTTTGTGATTGCTCTTTGCGCCACCCGGCGGTGAGGGAGGAGATGGACGTCGCGCGGTTGTACGGCTCGTGGGTGGCGGAGAGGAGGAAGTGCGAGGTAAGGATCAAGCTCAGGACGAGTATCACGTATCGAGTGGATTTGGTCAAGACCAACGGCATTTTCGAGGAGGTCGAGCAGGTCGGTTCTTGCCCAGCGAAAGTGAGACGTGTTCGTAGTTCGGAATAAAGAATGATAAATCCCCAACTGACTGCGGATGGTGACGAGAACGGTTGGTTATCTCGGACACCGCCGCCGTGTCAGAACTGTGCTGCAACTCTTCGAAATTCGCAATCACATGCCCAAGCTGGATTAATGCTCCGATTCGCAATGCTCAGGAGCAGCCCTCGAACTTTACCTTCGCTTGGAATCCCAACCAGCCGTGCCATGTCCTCCAGCGAAAGCGTGCATAGGCTGCAGTCGGTTTGTTCAGCGTCCACCCCGGCGCCCGATCTACCGCCTGCGTGTCCAGCGCCAAGGTTTTCTCCTGTTGCAAAGATTCACGGGTAGAGCACTCAATGCCGAAGTGCAATGGAATCACCCTGTTCCATAGGAGAGCTAGAAAAATGAAATGACGGGGGATCGCCACGTGGGAGGGGACTCGGAGGCAAGACTGCGACGATGAGGCAGATCTCTTTGAGCGGAACGTTCTCGTCAGCAGATGAGCACTACATAGTAGCGCGTGCTGTATGGCCCTGCTTTTGCATCGACAGTCTGATTCGACACCATCAGATGAATGTGATCTGAGCGACTGCTTAATCACCTGGATCCACGCCGAACGCTGGGCTAAATGATGGTAGAACTCAAAAGGACCATGTCGGATAGCAAAGGAATAAAGATACAGCGGGATCATCGAGGGAGACTACAAAGTACAGGTTTCTAAGCTGAAAGGTTCGAGCTACAGGAAGAGGAACGGACTGGAACTGGGGGATACATCATATAAGAGACGGGAGAAAGGCTCAAGTCGTTGGTCGTTGAGATCTTCAGGAGCGGGCACCACCGAGCATGACACCGCCGGTCATGACACGAGTCACGCCGCCCTGGTACAGGTAAGAGACCTTCGGGGTCGGTTTGGCCGGGCGCTGCTGCACAGCAGCCGAGGGAGCGGGCAGACGACGAGTGAAAGTGGGCCTGACTGTCGCAGGTGCAGACTTTTGGACGGGAGAGGAAAGTCGGTACGAGGTCACGGATGAAGCGGTATCACTTTCAGAGTCGGAAAAGTCACTTTCAGAATCCGAGCTGCTGCTGTTGCTGCTGGCGGCGTCATCGTTTAGAGGCTGACGGCGCATGGTCCGCATGCGCGCGGCGAACAACGTCGCTCGGAGCCGCAAAAGAGTCGGCTGTTCGTCGTCGGCAGCAGCAGCATCCTGCACCTTGGCTGCTTTCTTCTGCTGCTGCTGCTGAACACTCCCACCATTCGAAAGGCTCCACCTCCACACATCGACGACTGCGCCGTTGCCAACCCGCGCCTTGACGAACCGCGGCCCGAACACGACAGAAATCGTCTCGTCCGTCTGCCCACCGAGCGCGGCGAACCACACGGCCCATGGGATGTTCGACCCAATCGATGCCGCGAACACCGCCGGCGGGGGCGTCGCGAGCGTCAGAGTGAGAGTGGTGCACGGTGCGCGCGTGCCGGAGAGGGACGCGGTCAGGATGACCTGCGCGGATGTGATGCTGGTGTGCGGGATGGTCTGCATAGAGCGGAGGGGGTTCGTGAGGTAGGCCACGACGTGCGCGACGGCGGAGACGTTCGAGGATGAAGACATGGTCGTGACAATTGGATCTGTGTGAGGTATCGTCCGGCGATGAATGCAAAGTCTAGCGTGTCAAGCGTGAAGGTCGTAGACGTAGAATGGGAATGGGAATGTGAAGGTCGAGCAGGTAGAAACGTCGAAACAAGCGAAACGGAAGAGCGGTGCAGAAGCGCAGGAGGTAAGAGACCGAGAGTCTTGGTGTCCCACAGACTCGCCTGTGGTTCTTATACGGGTATCACCATTATGTATCGGACAATGGCTGCGGGCAGTGAGCGCGCATTGTGGGGAGAACAATGAGTATTTGCAAGTGTTTGTCGGTGGATTGACCGGGAGCAGCACGTGATCGTTGTTCAACTTATCGTGGGCGCACGATTTTCCTATTAACATCCAACCACTTTGAGCTCCGGCAATCCTCAAATAAATATTTCCATCCACAATTTTTCCTCCAACTCATACATTGATCCACAGGCCATGATTTCAGTCCACCCAGATAGGATCTGTGGTTGCCTTGATGTTCGCTCTCGGGTTGTATCCCAGCGCGTCCATCCGCATCTTGACGGTCCGGTGGATATGCACTCCGTGCGTGGTCTGACGGGGGACATGGCGTCCCCGGCCGCGATGTATTCTGGAAGACCATCATCGCATCCACCCAAATCGGGGAAAGGGGCATTTGCAAGCGCCTAGTTTGACTACTCACATCATCGCCTTGGTCCACGTATCGTTCTTCTCCTGAAATCTGAGCTTCTGCGGGAACCATTCGAGGAACCACCAGATCCTCCGCCGCAAGAGCTCGTCGTTGAGCGCCGTCATGGCATCCGCCAGATCCTCCTCTTCCTCGCTCACGAAGTCCCGGTCAGCGATGACCTTCCCCTTAATCTCCGTGCTGCCTTGCATGCGCTCGTCGTCTGGGTCCGGCATAATCGGAGGAGGGCGGGGCAGGACGTGCGGATACAGCCGATCCGGGTCGATGCCGGCCATGCGGAGCATCTCTGCATGGAACATGATCCCCGTGCGCACCACGAAGCACTGGCGGATCATCCACCGGAGTGATATCCGGGCAAGACTGTTGCGAGCGTTGTTCGGGAGCGCACCGCCGCCGACATCTGCGTGCGGCATCCAGGTCAGTACACAGCCGGTGGGAACCGAGGCGCACCGGCGTGACAACCCGCGAACCACACTTCCTGGATGTCCGTCTCGAATTCCGCTGCGACTGTGAGGGGTCCGTCAGACTCAGCTCAATCTGGGCGCCGTGTTGAATTGAAATCTTCTCACTCGAGTACTGTCGCTCCAGATCGTCGAGCGATTTGCCGCGGACCTTCTGCGTGTGCCGAGAGCGCGGCATCTCTCCCTTCTGGACGCCGAGGAGCAGGTCATCGGGCGACGGGCGGTGCCAGAAGTTGGGCTGGAACCGAGCCCGGTGCTCGTCCAGTGCGATCGCGTGTCGGAAGTACCGCACGTTCGTGTTGTTCCTCGTAAATGGCAAGCGGCGCGGGACGAAGCCCACTGAGCTTACGGTGTCCCTGCCGGATGCGAGTAAGAATCAGTAGATAAGAACGGAGAGGACGACACGAATAGCACACACCAGACCCGAGGAACTCAATTTCGACGTCGATGCTGAACGCGCGTTTGAACGCTGTGCTCTGGACCGAGGATCTGCGCATGTATTCACATCGAGCACTCTCGAGACTCACCTGGCGCCAGCCCACTTCGTCCTCCCGCGAGTACATCTTGTACGCAAAGGCTACTTGTTGGTGGTTACATTTGGGCAATAGGCCGACCTTGTGGATCCTGGAATCGTATGTCTCTTCAGAATTTGCAGCATCGCGGATCGAGCGTGGGACACCGACATTCCCGCCAATGCCCGCGCGGTCTGCACCCGTCAGAAAGTGTCCACAGACAGCTCGCACGAACTCACATAGGCGCCACGGGAGAAGCCGAATAGGCAGATCTTGTCACCCGCCTGATCTAGCAACGCCATTGTCAGGTAAGGCCAGCCTCCGCCCCTGCTCTGTACGCACAGTTCTGCATCAGGAACTCGTATCCGCCCATGACGTGTGCGTTCAGATGTAGGCCGAGCATGGCGTCGATGGTGCGGTGGAGCTTCGCCATGAACGGGTGGGCAATTTCCGGGACAGAATACGTCCCGATCCCCGCCTGCGAGCGACCTCAGACACCCGTGGTTCGGACACGATGCTGAGCGGACGACTTGCCTGGTAGTAGACCAGCTGGTGTTCGCAGTCGTCCTTCTTGAGCATCGAGAAGAAGTTCACCACGTTCGAGTTCTGGGAGGTAAGGTTAGGCTCACATTTGAGAGAATAACCTTGAAATGAATCCGTGCGTAGCCGAGAAGCTTACATCGTCGTCGAAACAGTCCCCTGTCCCATCGAACGCGAGGACGAGAGTGCGATGTCTGTGCGTCGGTGGTACAGTGCGCTCGAGATTGAATCGATCCGATTCCTCCCTCTTGTCGGGGTCCATCGGGCTGGGAGAGCTGCGTTGAGGGAACGTGGCATACTCGGAGAGAGAGGTTATCGGAGAATCGTTCGGAGACTCCATGGCTCGACGAGGGAGTGAGGGACACGGAACTTGATTGCCAGCTAGTCTTGATATATATATGACAGGACAGCGTCACAGACGTCCAGCGACCTTTGGGTTTAATATCCACCCCGACAGATTCAACGGCTTTCCCGAGTAAGGGGCGTGTGTTCTTCGGAGCAGACTGCTAATCTGTTCAGTTCCAGATATTACATCATGATCGAACTCGTTACGGATGGCGCAGTGCTAAGGGTTTCTGTTTTCAGAGACCGTGAGTGGGAGTGGAGCCGAGCGAGTGAGACGCCCGGAGCGCCACAGTTCGGAGACCCTAAATCAACATGGAGAGGCAGACGTCTGGCAGCTACAAAGCTACATCCGAGAAGAACCCACGGAGTTGATAGCTCTTGAATTCATGAGAGCGGGCGTGTTAAACATGCGCCATTAGTCGTCAGTGCGAGCAGTAGATACTCGAGCAGGTTTTCGAGTGTCGTTGGTGTAGACAATGACGATTGCATGATTGACACAGGGAGATCGTGTGATTTAATCGCAGTCGCGCCGGTCGGAACCCCTATCAGGCGGGGTAAGAGAGGCTCCGGATACATCTGGCGCAACTGCGCTGTCGATTCCACTGACGAGAGTTGCAAGTCACTGATGAGGTATGTCCACCAAACAACAGGACGAATCCCATCGTATTGTCCTGTCCAATCATGTCATGCGGTGAACCCGCAGTCGGTCAGAAGGTATTTCGGAATCGCATCGAGTCGTCCCATGTCGTTCTGATCAAGGAAGACTTCCAATGAGGGCTGAACCGAGACCTACAGTGAGGATCGTCACAAATAGAACAGTGAGGTGTCGGTGATGTCCGGACTGCGCACTATCTATATCGGATCAAAGGATATAATCATCACCCGATAGCACACACGTGTCCGATAGGCGAGCACATGGAGAATCTCATCTAATCTGATAGAAGAAGCTTACGGCGCAATATCTGATAAACGGAGATGAGATTACTATCGAACGGCCATTATGCGGGACTTTGGTAAACTGATTGCATGGCAACCTAATGTCCACTTGACCCCCGTGGATTCTCCTTTTCCACTACTCAGGTAGTGTAAAAGGCGCGCCGGGTTATATATCTGTCGGGCGTGGACTAGGCAAATTGCAATACCGTTCTCGGAGGTTTTTGGCGGACTGCAGGCTCCAACGACAACGTGGGACCAGATGCGGCGGTCTCGCCCTTTCTTCGACCTCATGTCACCGACTATCAGATAAACCGATAGCCGAAATCTGATAAGCACATCTGACTGACAGCGACAAAATTTTCCTCGTCTATGAATTTGTCGCCGGGCGACAGTGTTTGCAAGCCGTTGTGAGCTCGAGCGCCCATAAAGCTTGGCTGAGTGGCATGGCATCGTCGTTAGATCCGTGTCGATTCATCTGGGAGAGCGAATTACTTCCCTGTGCTACTTGTGCTTAGTTGCATTCCCGACACACCGCCTGTCAGTGTACTTACCGGGAATAAGTATCGCGAAACGGGCCCGGAAGTATCCTAATGGCAGTTCTATCCCACCGACAGAAGCCGGATGGTTTCGTACAGTAATATAAGTGGGGTTCCCGGATTCAGCGCTTGAAGCAGGTTTTCCCTCTCTGCCCTTCCCCCCGCCCTTCAGCTGCCAACGACCACGAACATGTTTACCTACCATGACCAGATGATCATCGCTCACGGTGCGCATGGCTTCCATAGAGCTCCGGCCTCCGGCTGATCGACCTGCTCAGCTGTATTCGCTTCCATCGCGGTGTTGTTCACCGCGCCCGCAGCGGTCCTCATCGGCCGCTTCTTCCGCGACCGCCAATGGTGGTTCAAAGGGCACCTCGTACTCCAGACGCTCACGGCCGTATGCGTCATCATCGTGTTCATCGTCGGCACCGCCGCAGTCGACAGCGGCGCGCACCCGAACCAGTTCGTCGGGTCGCGCAAGGACCCGCACCACGACATCGGCCTGTCCATCTTCATCCTGTTCCTGCTGCAGTTCATCCTCGGCGTCGTCGCGCACTACACGCACTCGGCGGGGTACAGCAAGCCGGGCAGCGCGTTCCCGACCATCACGGTGCAGAAGCACGCGCTGCGCCATGTCCACGTCTTCTGCGGGATCGCGATGACCGCGCTGCTCTACGCGGGGATGAAGACGGGGATGGACGAGTGGAACCGCGTCGCTGACGCCGGGACGCTCGTGCCCCGCGGAATCACGATCGCGTTCTGGGTGCTCTTCGCGCTCGAGGTCGCCGCGTACGTTGCGGGCTGGGCGAGCGAGCCAGTGCGCTCGAGGAGTATGCAGCCAAGCGCCGCTACGAGCACAGAAAAAGTAGCCGCATGAGCACAGTACGAAGATTATGAAATTGTAATGAGATTATTTTTCCACTGAATCAGTGTGCGAATGTGTGACCAGCGGGTGGGTGGGTGCTGGTCGCGCTTAGCGTGACAGAGTGAGTGCGTCACGTGTGTCACGTGCTGGAAACCGTCCCCTAAGCCGGAGTTCCAGGCGCCAAAGTTCGAGCAAACCGTGATCATCGTATCTCCGCACCATTCTGCTCTTTCCCTTTGGTCGACAATCATGATGGCGCTCCAGAAGCATCTCCTGAACGACCCTGAATCTCTTGTCATCGATTCCTTGGCTGGCCTGTGCGCAGTCAACAACCAACTCGTCCTCGACCCACCGAGCAAAGGTGAGCGGAGCGATCCTCGTTTTTGAGGTGGCCCGCAGTCTCACACGCGACGGCGGCAGTCGTCTACAACTCCCACCGGGACCGCTCCAAAGTCGCGCTCATCTGCGGCGGCGGCTCCGGCCATGAGCCTTCGCATGCTGGATTCGTCGGTTCGCGATACCCTAGACGCTGTCTCGACGCAGCAGCTCACGATGCGGACCAGGCGAGGGGATGCTCAGCGCCGCGGTCTGCGGCCACGTGTTCGCTTCCCCCAACGCGGCGCAAGTGCGGCGCGGGATGGATCTGGTCGAGAACGACGCGGGGTAAGTTCTCGATCAACACATCTTGGGGCACTTGGCGTTCTCATTCGTTCGAAGAACCTTGATTCTGGTCAAGTGAGCAGTGATTCCCATCCTCCAGTAGCGTGCAAGATTGCATCCAGCCAATCGTCATCGCTAGGAACTACACCGGCGACGTTCTCAACTTCGGGCTCGCGGCGGAACAGTACGCCGCGGAGCACGCAGACAAGTCGGATCGCGTCAAGTTTATCGTAGTCGGCGACGATGTGGCCGTAGGCAGAACACAGGGTGGGCTCGTCGGCCGCCGTGGCCTTGCGGGCGTCGTGCTGGTGTATAAGATAGCTGGGGCCCTGGCGGCGGAGGGCGCGACGCTCGACGAGGTGCATGCCGTCGCGCAATGGGTCTCGGGTCGTGTCGGAACGATCGGGGTCGGGCTGGAACATTGCCATGTATTGCGACCCTCCTGCTACCGCTCATTCTATTGTGCCCTAACAAGCTTCAACAGGTCCCGGGCACCGCGTCACCCTCCCATTCCCTCGGTACAAGCGAAATTGAGATCGGCCTGGGGATCCACAACGAGCCGGGCAACCAGCGTCTCTCGTGCATCCCACCGCTCTCAGAGCTCATGGTGACTCTGCTCGACCTAATCACTCTCACGACAGATCCAGAGCGGGCGTACCTGCCATTTCAGAACGACGGAAAGGACGAGGTGGTGTTGCTGGTGAACAATCTTGGTGGGATGAGCGAGCTCGAGCTGGGTGGGGTCGTCCGCGCTGCTTACGAGGAGCTGCAGAAGAGGCAGATCGTCGTCCGCAGAGTCATCTCCGGCACTTTCATGGTGAACATGCACGGTGTATCTCTGGATCCTGAACTAATCCCCTCCCCCAGACGAGTCTCAACATGCCAGGCTTCTTCATTTCACTTGTTTTGCTGCCTCGAGCGGACGAGTCGGACGCCCCGAAAGTCGATAAACTACTCATGCTGCTCGATGCGCCTGCGAAGACCCCCGGCTGGAAGTGGTCCTCAGGCACGGCTCCAATCACTCCAACGCCTCTCGCGCCTTCTGCAGTCTCTGCCGTCAACAAGGCTTCTAGCGCTAACCCCGTGTCCGTCCCGAATCTCGTCACATCACTTACGAAGGCGTGCAATGCGCTCATTGCTTCCGAGCCGGAAATCACCCGCATGGACACGATCGCGGGTGACGGCGATTGCGGCCTGACTTTGAAGGCGGGGGCCCAGGCCGTGTTGAGGGAGATCGAGGCCGGGAACATCGCTGGATCGGATCTGGTCTCCGACGTCGTCGCGATCTCGAAGGTCGCGGAGACTCGGATGGGGGGAACCAGTGGGGCCATCTACTCGTGAGCAGTCCCCACGCGTCGTCGACTGTCTCACCGCTAAGCTCTCCAGGATCTACCTCTCCGCCCTCGCCCAGGGAATCCAGACTCACGCCCAGAACTCGGCTCCCGAAATGTGGGAACGAGCACTGGCCAGCGCGCTTGCCAAGCTCTACACGTACACCCGCGCACGGCCGCCGTCTCGTACCTTGGTCGACCCGCTCGCTGCGTTCGTCAACGCGTTCCCGGACGGCTTTTCCGGCGCAGTGAAGGCGGCTGCGGAAGCCGCCGCGCACACGAAGGACGTCGAGGCGAAGGCTGGGCGCAGCGCGTATGTCGATGCCGGGATGCTCAGCCGGGAGCAGGTGGCTGATCCCGGAGCCTGGGGTGTGAAGGTGATTCTAGAGGCGCTGTAGGAGTCGCTAGTGTATTGAAATATGAATGTAAGTTGTAGTCGAGGATCTTGTAACAACTGAATGACAAAGTCTATCTGTTCGTGAGACGCAGTGTTAGAGTATAGAGCCACAAAACTCAGGCCGAACGCTGAGTCTTACAGTCTAGGTGGTTGTGGAACGTAGCCGTTCGTTGTACTCCAGGGGTTACCGCTCAAAACCAGATAATATATCTGGTGCAACACGTGGGACATTGCATACTTAGAAACAAACAGATCGATCTGCCGAGGCATCGTACACTACGAATGACAATGAGTGGAAATGCCAAAAATGATTTGCATGCTTGAGATGAAGATAGTCCAAGATCGAAATTGTCCGGGAGGGTGCTGCTCTCCCAACATCCACTCATGACTCATCAGAAGCCTCCGATACCCCACACCCCGGCACCGGCACCCAGGATGGCAACGAGCGTCGCGGCCCAGATCCCAGGGGGCACAGCGTAGCCCTTGCCGTTGAACGGCACGTACGACGGGGTCGCGCTGGCGGTCGTGGTGTTGGATCCTCCGGTGCCTCCGCCAGTCAGATTGGCGCCGTTCGGCTGCAAAGCAGTGTGTCAGCACGCGTGGTCGGAGAAAGAGCGGGTGGGTGCTCACCCCGATCGGCCGTGAGTTGTCGACGAACGCGCAGGTGTTGGCGTTGCACAGACAGTTTCCTGCGATGGGATCCCAGAACGCGGTGGAACAGTTGCTGGGTACTGCGAAGAGACAAAGATCATGAGCTCGTTGTAGAAAGAGAGCATGCAGGACACAGACGTCGGTGACGGATCGTTCCATCCTTGTTCTGCTGGCTGGGGTTGGGGTTTCCCGGAGTGATCTCGTCCACAGGGCATCCGTACTGGAGGATGAGTGAGTGAAAGCTTAGCACCGGACAAGAGTCTGTGACTAACACAGGTGTAGAACGGGAAGTCCGAGAAATCACACAATTCTATCAGTCCCTGTTCGTGTTGGGGCATGCCGTTGCAAATCTTGGTCGAGTTGTCGATTTGAGGCGTCGAGCATTGCAGGGGTGCGAAAGAGTCGAGCTGAGAGAGCGGGACCGGATTCATCACCCATTTCAGCACTTGTTCTGTGGAAACGATCCAAACTGTGGATCCTTGCGTAAGCCCGCTGACTAGTTGACACGCGACTGGATGCGGGCTTACCATTCTGCAGCTGCTGCGCCCAGTCCAGGAACTCGTTCACGATATTGATGGTGGAGTTCGGTGCTTGGATTCCGGGGTAGTTGTATGCCAAATGGATCGGATGTGTGTACAACCCGAATGGTTGACGCTGGCCGTTGTAGTGATCCATGAACGTGCTCTTGAGGTAGGCCAGAGTCGCCGTGTCGTTGACCGCCGAGTTGCCATTCGCCGTGTCGCTATTCCAAGTGGTCAGACCCATATCAGAGCACAGGAACCTGTTGCAAACTCACAGGTACGGATCCATGAGATGCACGCCGGCAGCTCCTCGCTCGTCGAACGTGGCATACATCGGGACTTCCCAGAACCCAGGCAGCACAGGCTGACCTTTGCACTGGCCCTCGACCTGCAAGCAGTCGTTCGCCATCCCGTTGTCAAGCGTGTACGGCCAGTATGCATCGGTCCCCTGCGCTGTCACGGGGATGGCCGAGGCGGCACTGGAGTCGTACGTAAAGCCGAGGGTGTGGAGCATCTTCAGCGTGTCGACTGTGTAGTTAAGGAACGGGGCTCGGAATCCGATGATGTCCTTGAGCGGGATCCCGGCCAAGGCATTAAGCGCGATCAGATTGCCGGCCACTTCGTTCTCAGGCGGCGCTCCGACATGGGTGATTGTGTGGTCCGCGATTTCGTTTCCGGCGACATACCAATCTAGCCATACACAATCAGCGATACCCATCACCGGGCAAGTGCACCGCACATACCTGTCACGAGGGTGTAATTAGTGTAGTTGAGGGAGGTATAGTACGTCATTTTCGGTCGGCAGCCGTTAGGATTCTTTCGTTGTGCGAGGAACTGGTTGACAGAATCGAGAGTATACGACTGGATGGCGTCGTCGGCGGTGAAGATGAGGAACATCGGAACATCGGACTAGGTTAAAGCTCAGTCTGGGTTCTGTTCTTTCCTCGGAAAGTTCTCGACATACGGCATTGAGCCCTCCGGGCGGACTCGTACTCGCGCAATTACAGGTCGGGAGCTTGCACTTGGTTGCGTCGCAGGAGTAACCGGCGGCCGAGGCGCTCGACGTGGCTCCCGAAATGGATCCATCCTGTGCCTTCACCGACGCAAGGAGAGGCGCCAACAAGCCGATGAGCAACGTCCCAGAGAGCATTCCGGTCGCTTTTAATGGCGCAGACGGGGTCGTGCGGAGAAAGGAAGATGGTGGTGCGGAACAAAGAGTGTGAGAGCTATTTATAGAGTTCAATGTCAGCAGCTATGCCAGGCGGCATGAAGTCTATTTTCGTACAGACCTGGCTTCGTATATAGCTTGACCGCAAACTTAGTCACACCCCAGTTCTCGAGTTGCCCATAGATGCAACGCGAACAGGTCTGGGCGATGCAAGGTTGCCGGCTCCCTCGAATCGTGACCAGGTTCACTTCTTCCCTCGACTGCGCAGACATCCTCCCATATCCCCTCCCTGCTCGATAATCCCCATCCTCATATCGTCGATGACTTCTTAGACCTGTCGTTGGCGACGAGCAAGGAGCGGGTTGTAAGTATTTTGTGTTTGTGGTCGTGGTTGGAGCCCAACGGGACCCGGAAAGAAGAGAATGGCCCAGTGTCCCACAGTCCGGTCATGGACATGTGGATCTCCATCTGGACATCCTTCACTGCATAGGTGAGGATGTATGCGTCTTGCGTGTTCCAATAGTGCATCGGTTCAATCCCAATAGATCCTAGGGCCCGCGTCTGATAAGGAATTTGAGCGGAGTGACTTCGTTTCTCAGCCGTCAGAGAATCGTTGCATTTGCTTGCTTCCTCGGTGTATTCGCCCGATGCAGGATGGTCGTTCAACTGGGATTACCGGGAGCAGGTTGTTGCGTCAAGTCACGCGTCTCGAACCTGGCTGGAAGTCCTCGACAGCCTTCGGCCGAACACGAGTGCTTACCACACTACCAGTGGGCGATGTGACATGGGGGTGCACGGGCGTTCATGGCCGTTGCCTCGTCCGGGCCGGTTGCGGTGAGAAGATGGGAGGGAGGGGGGGAGTACAGCAGCTTCGAGCTCGGGCGTGCACTCTCACGGAAAGCTGTTCGGGCCAGGAGAGGAGGCATGGAGCAATCAGCGAACCGGCACTCGCGCTTGTGGATGAAGAGAGGAGAGAGCGGGAAAGAGAGCGGATGCCTAACGAGCGCTGTCGCTTGGCACGGCACCCATCATTCGGCAGCCTGGAACTATTTGGTATCGTTTCGTACCTTCCTTACTCCGCCCTTTTCTTCCGACCTCCCTCACTCGACCCACTCCCCGCCACGCTACGTGCGCAAGCCGTCGCGGCCTTTTCCTCTCTTCGTCCAACTCAGCGGCGGGAATCCCGTCCATCATCATCATGTTACCTCACGTCCTCCTTATGCTTTTGGGCCCGCTCCTCGCGTGGGCTCAGGATGACGGCAGTTTGAGCGGAGCGACCTCTAGCGCCGCTGCGGCCGGATACAACTGCGACGCATCCAAGTGCAAGCTCCCCAAATGCAACTGCGCCAGCACGAACCCGCCGGGTGGCCTGAAGCCTGTACGTATCATGCGGTTTCGGCGGCTGGAAAGGGATCTCGGCTGATTAGAATGACTCAGTCGGACGTCCCGATGTTCATCGTGTTCACCGCCGATGACGCCATCCAGAGCTACACGCTCAACTCGGTCAACCAATTCCTCGGGCACCGCAAGAACCCTAATGGCTGCCAACCGAAAATGACATATTACACCTCGCTCAACTACACGAATTACACTCTGGTCACAGGTGTGTGTGTGCCTTTGCTTTTACCGCTCTTTTTCCCCAGCGTACTCATCGCTTGGGTTTCAGATTGGTATGTCGCGGGCAACGAGATCGCTGACCACACGATGACACACGTCGGTTCCCCGCCGGAAAACGAGATTGATGGGAACTTGATCGCCTTGAACGCTCTGGCCGGGATCCCCATGGCGTCCATCCAGGGATTCCGTGCACCGTACCTGAACTACACGGTCGACACCCTCAAGTACCTAGCCAAGGCGGGATTCACATACGACTCAAGCGCATCTGCGTCCATTCCCGTCACGGATCCGGGCACGGACGCCTACTGGCCGTACTCTCTGGATTACGGCATGGCGAACGATTGTCTGCAGGTGCAGGGCTCGTGCAAAGGGCAGCCCGTTTTGCCTGGCTTCTGGGAGATTCCGATGTATGCGTTCTTCGATCAGCGCGGACCTGCCGGACCGCATCTCATGGACCCTTGGCTGTGAGTCGCCAAGCCGCTTCGTTCTCGGGTTCTGATCTGACGGTGGGGTACATAGCGATACCGCCAACGGCAACTCTGCGGTCAACGATTCTGCGACGTTGGAGTATATGAAGGCGACCTTTACTGCGCATTACAACGGCCAGCGCCAGCCCATCGGTCTCTACACCCACCCCATCCACGTTGCGCCTGATTACCCCGGTGTCCAGCCGCTCAACTCGACCATCAACATGATCAACCAGTTTTTGGACTGGGCCCAAGTCCAACCCAATGGTCAGTCCGTTGTCTGATTCGGGATGAATGATTGATCCTACCTGCTCCCATAGTCTGGATCGTGTCCTCGGAACAATTGCTCGCCTGGACGAGGAATCCTGTTCCCTACTCGCAACTGGACAGTTTCCAGCCGCTCAAGTGTTCGGCACCTGCTGTTGATGCCTCGGTCAAGATCTGCAACGGAGTTCCGCAAAACGAGGATGGACTCCTCTCGCACTGCCCTTTCTCGGACTTCCCTTTCTTCACATGTGTACGTTGGCAGGTCGAGTCGTCATCGTTTTCGCTCATGTTCCGTGCAGTATGGTTGCCCCGAAACCGAGCCCACTGTTGACAACCCGAACCCGGCCCAACAAATTCCGACTGGCCAGCAGGCTCGGTTCCGCCGTGAGTGTGCATTTCGTTTCGGGTCATCTCGGTGCTCACTATGATTGTGATCAGTGCCCTCCAACTGCTCGACTCCATTCTGGGACCCTATCGCCGGCAAGTGCATGTGCACGGGCTCGAACTGCCAATTCAATGACATCTCGCGACCCGTTGGCGCGAATGGTGCCAATTTGACGGGCGGTGGAACGGGCGGCGGAGGCTCCGCCGCGACCGCCAGTGCGACCGCCTCGTATGTGCCGTTCAATGGCCAGGGCGGCTCCAGTGCGCGCGGTCTGTCGGCTGGGGTTTGGGCTGCGACTGCAGTCGGTGCGTTCGGTGCGCTCGTTGGCGTCGTCGGTGTTTTCGGGTGGTGATCATTGGACAACTTGACTCTTGCATCTCACACATACACATTCGCTACTACAGTATACATACTCGCTATCTACCGCCATGGACTAGTAAATTAATCGTGTTCTGCGCTGGTCGACTGACCGGCCCCCCATGTGGCGTGCAGCTCCAAGAGCGGCGATCACTCCGGGCTGTCGCTTGGCTAGCGGCTTCTCTGTCCCTGACATCATCGTCATCAGCTCAGCTGAGTCTCCGAGTATGTACATACGCTCATTGGACGGGAGCCGGACAGAAGGAGCCACCAGCTCTCGTCATGGCGCAGATCAGCAGCCACAAGGCTGCTCGCTGACGCATGCGACAGCTTGCACTACAATCGCGCTCACTATCAAGGACATGTCACTCCGGGGACAGACCCCAGCCTGCCCATTCTGTCATGCTCCAGTTCATCTCGCTTCCTGGGCTTCTGCATCAAGAATCTGCTACAGTTGTAAGGTCGTACTCGTACAGGACAGGTAGGGACAGATCGTGGTTGGTCGCATGCACTCCCGCGCTCCCACGAATGGATCTAAACACCGTTTCACATCCACGCCGCTCTCACGCGCGACGGGATGCAGGTTCGTTGGTTTCGTCTTCTTCTTCTTCTTCGTGACCTCTTCTTCTTCGTCATCTTCTTTGCAGCCTCTTCTTTTCGAGTTCCTCTCCTCCCCCCCCTCAACGCTAAACGCTCACCTCACCTCCTGCCGGCCAGTGGGTCCCGATGTACGCACTCACCCCGGACAACATCGCCTCGTTGCGGGGCGCAGAGAACGCACGGATGATGGTCATCGGGATGTTCTGTCTCTCCGGTGGGTGGCGGTTGTTTCGTCGCCATCATTCCCATGGTGCCGCGGTAGCTGACGAGACCCCCCCTCCCAGTGTATGATGTGAGCGCGCTCCGTCGCAGTGGTCCTCTCGCAGACACTGAACTGACCCGTCGGCCGCCCCAGTTGTTGATCAGCTTGGACGACGAAGTGCGTGGTGCTCTTGCTCGCAAATGACGGTGCTAATTGATCCTCGGCGCGCGGCAGATCCGATGCTTTTGGACCGGACGCTGGACACTCTCTCGCGTGCTCTTCTTCATTGCAAGTCACATCCAGCAGCGTCCCCCCCAGTCCCGCGCGCGCTGATTTATGTGCTGGGTCTCTGCAGAACCGATACCTCAATCCCGCGATATGTGTCCTCGCGCTAGCCTGTATGTGTCCATGGCCCGTGCACGTCTCCTGCGCATCACTGATGTGCGATTGTGATGCAGGCGTGTCTCTCCCGGATCCGAGCATCAGAGTGAGTGCGCGCTAGCTTCGAGATCTTGTTCTTCTTGGAATGAAATTCGCCGCCGCGGCAGTTGTGTGTATTTTCGTTGATTCATCGTGCTACTCGGCTTTGACGCTGCGAGCAGCTGCAGGCAGGGAATCCAGTTGCTCTTTGTGGTCAGCACTCTAGCACTCGGGATCGTCCAAGGTCAGCCGGCGAGCCTTACCCGTCCCATTATGTCATTCTCAGGCTCGCGCGTCTGCTTTAGCCATGCTCGCTATCCGGGTCTGGTACTTGTTCGCCAGCAGCCGCGCGATGCGACTGTTCATAGTCGCTGCTTTCGTGGTCACCAACGTGCTGTCGCTGTATCTTGCTGTGCGAGAGGGGGTGGATATGAAGGTGCAGCCTCACATACCCGGTGTCCTGGGATGCCATGCCACCCGGCCGCCGATGTTCTGGAGACTCTTTTTGCCGTCTCTTGTCCTTCATGTGAGGTTTTTAATCCTCTTCGAGTTCCCATCTCCTGATATCGTCTTCCAGACTGTCCTGTATATCTTGACTGCATATCGAGCACTGCGCAACAGGGCGGTGTTCAAGGAGGCACCGATTCTCAAGCGCCTGCTCAGGGAGTGAGTCAATATATGGTCCTTCGTGCGCCAGTAGATCGATTGATGTTGACCCGTCCTTACAGCGGAGGATTCTTCTATTTTACCGTCTTCTGTATTGACACTTTAGCTGTCTTCCTGTATCCTTCGCTCACATTCTCTACCAGTATCCGTTCTGTTCACTTCCATCGGCTCGTTCCTGAATCAATACCCATCGGTAGGTCCATCCACTCAAACACCGTCGATCTAGATAAATAAACCATTCACGAATCGCCCAGATCAACGTGCCTGCCATCTTCTCAAAGTAAGCGAGCAAACATGTTGCCCATCGTTGCTCACCCCCACGGCCAGCTTCTCGGTAACGACGACCTCGATCGCCGCCTCGCGCATCATGCTCAGCATCCACTCCCTCGCGCACAAACTCGGCTCCGACTCCGCGTGGCTGCTCAACAACGTCGAGCTCAGCCGCGTGCCGTGGCGCCGCGGCGCGACCGAGGGCGAGATCATCGTCGAGCGCTTCTCCACCGAGCGCCCGGATGTGGATGTGGATGTGGAGACGGGCGGCGCGGGTGGGGTGCCGCTCAAGGAGAGCCGCGTGGGGCGCTGGACGGACGAGACGTGGTAGGATCCCCGGATGGATTGTCTGGATTGGATTTATGTATGTACAGTACAGTGCGCAGTACGTTCTTGAATATATACCTTGTATAGTCAGACTGCTCATCTGTGCGCGATTCAGTTTTGACATTGCTGGTCCTGGGTGACCAACAGGCTGGATTCCTGCACATCAATATTCAAAAGCCAAACGATTCGATCAAGTCAGTACGGTAAATAGTTTCATAGTCAGGTAACTAGTTTCATATGTAGGCAGGACAGACGGTAAGTAAACAGTCATCGGAACGAACATCACAAGCAAGCAGAGATCACACACACACACACGACACATTCACATTTCAAAAACACCACGAGCGCCACATTCCTTATTTGTCGGGACCCTCCTTGTCCTTCTCATTCGGTATCTGCTCGGCGTCGATCCCGGCATTGAGATCTGAGTTCGCGCTCTGCTCCTTCACTTGCTCAGCGACGACAAGCCCCGCCGCGCGTTCGCCGCCCCCAAGCGGACTGCTCTTGAATCCCAGGCGGCTCACTTTCGGAGCGATGAGCGCCGGCACGGGGATCGGGGACACGATTCCGCCACCGGGGGTGCCCGCGGGTGTACCTGTGCCGAGACGGCGCTTGCGCTCGAGGAGGATGGCCATGGACGGCACCGGGGACGCGGACGCGCTGCGCGAGATGCCGTTCAGCACGTTCTTCTTCACGGCCGCGTCCTCGGCTTCCTCGGGCATCGTCGGCGTCGGCGACGGCGAGGAGTCGCGTCCGACGACGACGACGACTGGATCGCCGCCGCCGCCGCCGGGTGCGGTGAGGTCCTCCGAGGACAGGTGTTCCTTGATGGCGAGACTGCCGGCGGCGTGGAGAGACAGGTTGGGGGCTACGGTATCACGCGGAGTCGGCGGAGCGCTTCTTGAGCGCAGGAAGTTCAGTCCCTTCAGTGAGAGAACGGGAGTCGGCGCCTTCAGAGTCACGCTCGGCGCTACGGGGATGACCTCGATCGTGGCTGGGACCGTCACCTCTTCACCGGGCGGGACGTAAGGGTCTCCGTGAGCACCCTGTGGGTCGAATTCGTCGTAAATCTCTTCACCGATGAGCTCTATTCGTCGTTCAGTAACATAAATCAACGTTATTTACGTCGGCACAAACCTTCAAGCACGTCCTCGAGCGTGATGATCCCAAGAGGCATCACAGCGGGGTCGAAGTTTTGCAGGAACTGGGACGCGAGGTCAGCGGGGCCTTCAAAGGTCGCGAAAGAAACCACATACCTCTGCAACACCTTCTTTGCCGAGGACAGCATCCGCAGGCATGCTCTGCTCCAGTCCAGACCGCGACGGCAGTTGGAAACTCGCCCGCCGACTTCTCTCGCGTTCCTCGGGGACAGCGGTAGCCGTGACCCGCTGGGAGCGACCGCGCGCAGATGCGTAGTAGCTCTTCAGGGTCTCGTCGCCCTCGGACGACTCTTCCTCGATTCCTTCCTCGATATCCCGGAACTTCTTCTTGACCGCGCTGTCTTTCTCTTTCTCTTTCTCCTCCTCCTCGTCACTCGAGTCGCCCATCCCGACACGCTCCCGAAGGCGCTGAGTAAGACCGCGCTTCACAGCTTTCTTGACGCTGGCAGCCTAGAAACAGATCGTCAGTGGGTAGGTCAAGAACCTGCGATATCGCCATACCTTGTCTTCACCAAATCGGCTGACGATAGCCATGTGGCTTCGGCCTTCTTGAAACTTGTCCAACAACCTCAAGAGCGGCTCGTTGTGTGGGATGAACGGGACTTTGTTCAAAGGGATCTTCCGCAGTGGGATAGCGTCTGTGCGCGAAGTTGGTGATCGTGACATCATGCAGCAAGGAGACAACACACCCTTGGGATCGAGCAGCACACAGTGCTTGACCAACAGAATCCCGATGATCTTCTTCACCTTGGTGCCATTCAACTCGATCTCTTCGTAGACCGGTACCCGGCTGTGGCCCGTGAGACAGATCTTCTTGAGCAGGTCGTAGTCGAGATAAGAGTCGATCGAAAGCATGAAAACATCCGCGATCGGAGTCATGGCCTGTCGCACGACCTTTTCTTGGAGATCGAGCGTCGCGCCAATGATGGTGACAGTGTCCGTGCGAAGATCGCCACCGTGTGTGGCACCCGAGTCGTGCATGGCAATAAGCTCTTTGAGTTCTGGCAGACCAAAAGTTTCAGAAGGTGGGCGACTTGGAGAGTGGAAACGGGGACAAACGCACCTGCTCTGCGATAGATGATGCCATGGTGAGAGCCCAGAATGAGTTCAAGCAGCTTGGCAACTGGCCAAGCAACAATGCCCTGGCCAAAGATAGCTTCAGCTCTCCTGCCGCGGCATACAGTATCACCCGGCACACGCACCAAGCCATAGATCAAAACCCTAGTGAATCCAGCCATCTTCGCGCCGAGGAACAAGCCATGACGGGTGAACAGGGACTGGGGGATGATTTCCGCAAAACTGCGCAGAGTACGTTTTAGTGCGGGACGACGGCGGAGGAGAGTAACCCCGCATGTACAGTAACACGTCGCGTGACGTCACGAAGCTGTCTGCTGAATAGAAGCATTCCCATGCGCGCCACGTCTGGGGGACGCGAAGGGATGCTTCTAATAGCCTACGGAACGAGGAGAGCATACTCACATGACGATGAGCACCGTGGAGACCACGACTGACTGCACGCCACCCCCCAGAACCGGGTCGGCGACAATAGGGAGAGTCTATCCGCGCGTTCAATCAGCGGAAGGAGAGGAGACGCATACATGCATGCCCACCTCGTTCGTGATCATGTTGGCGAGCAGCAGGGTCACGAGGAGCAGGTGCCCGTTCTTGCGGATAGGCTTGATCTTGTTCGCATATTCGCGCTGTTTACTGGGCTAGTCTGAGCCGATACCCCCGCGGCCACAAGCACGAAAACGTACGGTGTTCCACTGATGCTCAGGACATTCAGCTGGGTCTCGTCCAAGCTCATGTAGCCGAGTGTCAGCCCGGCAAATACACCGGAGGCGAGTACGAGGACGGGGATGAGTACTGTAAACACCGCGACATGATGAGAGACCGCGGACAACGCGCTGGGAGACGCAGAATTGGGTGCGCACCTGCGAATACGATGCTAGTAGGTTTGTGGGGGTCGAATTTCTCGCGCTTGAAGAGCGAGCCGCCCGCTTGGGAGGCGTTGGAAACGCCATATTGGGTGATAGGAAGCAAGTGGGTGACATATTGGGAGGCTACAGAATATAGACTGTACACGAGACGAGTGGTTTGCTTGGACAGACCGGGGACTAGGGTCATTCGAGGTGGTGGGATTCAAGGGCTGTATGATCAGCGGATGATTTATATAATACGAATCGCGTGATGTCACAAACTTCCGACTGTATGAATGTGGGAGAGTTCCGAACTGTATAAATAGCTGTGTATTGGCCGAGCATTTCGTGAATGCTCACGAGACGGCGGAGAGCCGGCATGAAGGCAGCGTCGGAGACGTTGGACCAATATGGAAAACATGGGCCTTGATTGAGATACCACTGCCTATCAAAGTGATTCCTTCAAGCTGCGTACAAACTACCGGGGATAAGCGCGTTACGTGAAAGCCCTTAGGCCGCATGGCGTATAGCCTACATAACGACAGCACCGCCCTTTCGGACCGCAGTCTTGACGTGGTATGCATTGTGCAGGTCGAAGAGAAAGAAACCCGACTTGTTCTTGTTCGTTCACGGACTGGCGAAGCAAATGCGATGCTTTGGTCGTCTGCACGGACAGTGGGAATGGCCCATCCAAAATGGGGCCGTGTCAAGGACAACCGACATGGCCGAGGCCTTCATTCATGGGAAACCTGGTGACCTCAAGGGCAAGTTCTGCGGATAACACGGGAAGCAACAGCGATGGCAGCGAGCGCTTCCGGGCCCATCCAAGGCGTATGGCGACTGCGTCCTCGTGGGATAGACGAACTATTAGAATGCCGGATTCCAGACCAGACAAGGAGCGGACGGAAGACGACCGAGAGTGACCCCGCTTTGGGGCCAGATCGATGATTGAGTTTGTTCGGAGAGCATCCAAGGTGGTAAATCATGACATGTGTTCTCACGGCTGCGAATAAAAGCCACAGTAAGACCGATAAGCGAAGCAAATGAGGACAAGTGGAACGTCCGGTTACGTGCGGGTATGTTGGTGCACCGAGGGAGCCCACTGAGTCCCTGAATGGCCATCGCACCCCAAGTAACAACGTCAGGGATCCACATTTCGAGGCAGAAGAATACACATCCAGTGCGAGGTGTGGCCCAAAGTGAGGATTGAATAGGGAACGTGTGCCCGCGCGGAGCACAAAAGGTCATTCAGATCGAGCCTTGTCGTGCCTCGGAAGGATGAGTGCTATTTATCCTCAATCATCTCGAGTGGCCGCGTCCCACCGCGTCCCAGGCCGAGTCGCAGGGTCATGGATGAAAAAGGCAAGTCCGAGCGTAATCCGGGGTAAGCACCGACAAACACACCGAAGCGATCGATCATTGTGGAGGACTCTTAGTTGTTCCTCCCTTTCAACTGTCGGGTCCACAGTTCCGCTCACCTCTCGCAAACCATGTCCAATCTCCTCCATTCTGCTCTGCACTCCTCGACCAATCTGAGCGCTCTCAGCGGCTGGCCTGGGCCTCATGGCGGTCCGGACACACCACCCGTACCATACTCGCGCCCGACTACCCCAGGCGGCACCGTCGGCAGCGCCTTTCCCGTGCAAATCGGCTTCGTCGGACTCGGTGCCATGGGTGGATTCATGGCCCAAAACCTGGCGAACCACCGTGCCGCACACGTCCACGGGTCTCCCCCCATCCTCGTCTGGAACCGCACGCAGTCCAAGGCCGACGCGATCTTCACCGAGTTGGGTCAGCACAAGATACGCGTGGCGACCTCGATTGAACAGATTGCTGCCGAGTGTGACATCATCTTTACTGCGCTCAAGAGCGACGAGGTGGTCAAAGACATCTATGGGCAGTTGGTCAAGGCTCTGAAGGCAAGCCGAATGTTTTATACACCCGAGTACAACTGAACATCTTGAAAGGCGTCCCCTCCCGCACGAAACAAGATTTTCGTGGAGACAAGCACAGTACGTCATCAGATGACGCCCTGTGCCATCTATTCAGGAAGCTTCGTCAGATATATCCCACATTGGCTGGCGAACTCGACTCCCTTGTCTCCTCTGTCCCGCATTGCCGTCTGATCGCGTGCCCGACGTTCGGTACCCCGCATGTCGCCCAGTCCGCACAGCTGCTCATTTTGATGTCGGGCGATTACCGGTGAGTGGCTGCCCACGCGTAGCTTTACAATCGCTCACTCTGATCGTCAGGTCCAAGAAGGAAGTCGCGTACATGATGGTCCCCGCTGTGGCACGCAAAGTCATCGATCTCGGAGGCAACATTGAGAAGGGTGCGGGCAGATCGAGTGTTCCAGTCGTCGTCCCGCTAATGCCCGTGTCAGCTGCCACTTTCAAGCTCATTGGAAACGCCATGGTTCTGGGCACATTAGAGATCCTCGCTGAATCTTACACGTTGGCGGAAAAGTCGGGCATCCCTGCCTCTGAGGTGCATGCCCTCGTGCGCGGTGAGTTTGCTGCTGTCTCCGTTGCCTGATCTCACGACTTCCCAGATATATTCCCTGCCCCGAGGCAAGCTACATTGCTCGAACGACGCGCCTTCTAACCTTTCCTCTCAGCATCTTGCGGTACTCCGAACGAATGTCGACAGATCGGTACGATGGCACGACGGGTTTTGCAGTGGATGGTGGAATCACGGATGCCTCGTCAGTCTTCCATAAGCTTTTCCTGACCTGACCCCTGACGAGACTTTCCAGCCACATTCGCCGTCTTACGGCTGTGCGTGACTCTCCGATGCCGAGTGTAGATCTGGCGCATCAGCACCTGATCACCGCGCGGGCGATTCACGACAGCCATGTCCGGGACGGGACGCAGATCGTAGATGTGCTGGACGTCAGCGGGATCATCGCGGCGACGAGGGTGGCCGCTGGTTTAGACGCGTTCAACAGTAAGAAGAACTCTGGTGTCGTCGAAGAAGACTGAGCCGTCATGTCACCCCAACTGTAATGCTGTAATAGATTGTGTGGCATCTCTAGAGCTCGAGATCCGCGACGACACCTAATCCCCCCTCTAATCCAGTTTCATTGGGTGCCAAGGATAGGAGATTCGCGAGACTACCTACACCAACCTCGACAACATGTGTTGTTGTTTCTCGACGACACTTGGCCTGCCATCTGACGTGCATTGCACTATCACGGCCCTGTTCTCGGTACCCCAGGTCGGTGCAACCAATCCGATGCTCCGTGTAGGAACGACACGGGCGCACGGCACCCTAGATGTTCATGAGCGCTGTTCTCGGGTCCAATACAGTTGTTCATCTTCCGCATTGACATCGATTGCACTCATCGATTGAGGTGTTGGGGCTATAGGCTAGATTTGCGTCTCATCGTGTACAACAACCTCCACGCGCAAACCCTAGTCACACATGCACGTCTTGAGTGAGGCGTTCGGGTTCACTACGAGTATCAGCTCTAACCAGGGATTGTCATCATCTTTGCTTTGGCGCAATCTGAGTTGGACTACTCCAGACTCGGGGCTGGAGCCTCTGCGATTCTGAAAGCGTACATAGTAGCACGTACTCTCTATCGGCGAATCACCGTGAGATAATATATTCCCTGATGCACACACACACAGTGCCTGACAACTTAATCCTATCCAGTCGTGGATCAGTCGTGTCGCTCAATCCAAATCCAGCTCAATGCAGACCACACCATGGCAAGGACGCCCCATGATTCATGGAAGCTCGTACTCTTTGGCGCATCCTGGGCCGCCCTGACAGCGTGTGATGTACCAGTTCGTGTGCGTCCTCATGTCCCAGCTCTTCTTAAACAACGTCGTCATGTACTTGCTCTCCAAAGTCAACTCGTTCTTCCACCACCTCCGGCGCGCTCTAGGCATGGAACCGCTCCTGCAGCCCACCAACATCCACGTCAGCTTGGCCTTCATGCTGTTCCCACCCGCATCGTCGGCAGCGTTTGAGGCATACTCGTCGGAAAACCTTCTGAACTATCTGATCGGCCATGGCGAAGACCGCCGTGCCATCCGCGTCACTAGGGTCGAACTCTACGAGCGAACCACCGCGCCCATGCACGAGTTCATCGTGTGCCACTACGTCGACGTCCAAGAGGGAGAACCACGCTCTCTGCACAATCTTCTCCTCCTTGACCGCCATGGCGGCGGTCGGGGCGATGACACAGCACCTCCATCCCGTCATGTAATCTCCGTCAAGCCTGGGGACGCGTCGCGATTTCTTGGAGCGCAGAGCACGCTGTTTGTTGTCCCACCACTGCGCCGCGTAGTCTCTTCTCACTTTCTTCGACAGCAAACCTGAAGAACGCACGACCGAGCGTTCTGCCCAAGCATCGACTGCTGCGTCGTTGCCGACGCCACCGCAGGCTACTGGAAACGCGAACGACCCTACTGCTGAGCCCCGACTCCGCTCTACTGCCCAGTACGTAGTCCATCGCTCTCGTTCGGCAAAGCATTGAGCTGAACTCTCCCCCATAGCGGCCCAGGAGCCACGGTCTTCAACAGCATGGTCAGTGCCGCCGAAATCGTGGCTGCCAGCAGCGGGAAGAGGATCCGGAGTAAAGCTATAGACCGCGCGCTCATTTCGGTCTCGAGGGACAAGACGCAAATCCAAGCCATGCAAGGTGGCCCGGTGAAACTGCTTGCATGGTTCGATGTCCCGTCCTCGAACCGCATCTCATTGTTCCAGGTGCTTGCAGCGGCTCAGTTCATCACGACCCACTCCCCCGACTACCATCTGTTCCTTTCTTGCTGCTATTACTATGCACGCACTCTCTTTGCCATCTTGGCCAACCGGACCAACCGGCTGGAGAACCACATTGGCACCATCCCTAGTGCGACTATCCTCAAGGTTAATCCTCTGGACTGGGACACAACACACACAGTCGAAGTGGAAGGTGGCACTGAGCCCCATGGTCCAGCAGCGGTGGCCGAGGAGCCCAGCTCCAGTGGTGAGGCTATGACTTTTAGCTCAAATGCAGCCGCACAGGTCATCCGGCCATTTGCCAGCTTGACAAAGGCTCAAATGCGAGGTCTTGTCAAGGAGCGCTTTTCGGCCCAGAACATGGGGCAGCTATTCGAGGAGTACTATGAGAGTCTCAAGAAACGGGCTGATGAATGCCGCGATGTGTGTCTTTCCCTTTCATTTTGTCTGATACTCACATTATGCCAGAATCTTGTGGCCCCATTGCGTGCTGAGACTACTGCTCGCCAGACTGAGGCTGCAGCTCGCCAGGCTGCAGAGGCCGAGGCTGCTCGAGAGGCTGCAGGTCGTCAGGCTGCAGAGGCTAAGGCTGCTCAAGAGGCTGAGGCTCGCCAGGCTGCAGAGGCTAAGGTGGAGGCTGCAGAGGCTAAGGCGGAGGCTGCAGAGGCAAAGATTGCACAACTCGAGGCAATGTTGCGTGCCCAGCAGAACTGACAATAATTTTGCCTACAATTTAACTGATTGTAACTTCAATATGTGATTCTGTGTTGCACTAGTAGTATCTTCCATGGCTGAGATCATACACTGGTTGACCGAGAAAGCAAGTTTGTGGTCTTCATTGAAGCGTTGTTTGACCACTTCATGTTTGCGTCGCATTGCATCTGTCCGTGAACCTCTCTTGCCTTAAACGTCGATGGCCAAAGGAAAGAACTTGAATCCTGCCGATGCCCATCGTGAGTGTCTACGAAAGGCGTTCTTTACGGAGCGCTCACCCAGTCACCAAGGCAAGGCACTGCGAAAGAAGGAGCTAAAGAAGGCGAGCCTATTCGTGTCGGCGCGGAGGGACGCGATTGCTGACGACGCGATTACGCGCAGTAGAACAAAGCTGAGCGTTCGAAGACGAGGGATCTCGCTATTGTCAAGAAGGACACGACCGGTGCGCGTGCTCACCCCAGCTCGCTATGCCCGCCGTCTGATCCAAACCAGATTTGGCCGCCGAAGTCGAGCGCCTGGAGTTCGCGACCGACCCCAAAGACAAGGCGCGTTACAAGGACGCCAAGGCAGAGCTCGACCGCATCTACGCGAAGAAGGAGGAATATCTGAAGGAGCATCCGGAGCACCGCAGACTCGTGTACAAGGGGAAGAAGGACGACAGCCAGCCAGATGTCCCGGTCAAGCTGTCGACCAGGAACTACTTTGACAAGCACGGACTGCCGCGGCACCCCGAGCGCAGTGTCTACTATGATCCTGTGATGAATCCGTTTGGTGTCGCGCCGCCGGGGATGCCCTACCAAGAGCGACGTACGTCAGTTCACGTCTCGAATCATTTTTCTAGTCTGACGATCGTTGAAGCGCCGCTTCCGGGTGAGGTTTACAGTGACGCGTCCGAGGACGAAGGTCTGTGCCATCCGAGAGTCGAACCGCCGCATTCCTGACCATTTGAATCAAGACGACGACGACGACGTGGCCATGCCAGATGGCCCACCGCCTGATGACGAGGAGAGCGACGACGACGACATTCCGATGCCGGAAGGACCCCCGCCGAATCAGTCAGGTGCGTAAAACGAAGACATTGCTTTCGCTATAATGTCTGAATACTTTTTAGTGCTCCCGATGCCTGCTGGACCGTCGCCAGCATATCAAGTACCTCCCCCGCCAGGTTTCCCACCCAACATGCTTCCTGTGCGACCTCCCCCTCCTCCGCCTGGCTTCCCAGGCCCCCCGCCGATGAATTTCCATCCGTTTCCTGGACATGCACTTCCCCCTCCGCCTCCGGGATTCTTCCCTGGAGCACCCATGCCAATCCCGCTTCCTCCTCGAGCGTCTCTCCCTCAAAAACCGATACCGATGGCATCTGTCCCAGCTGCGGCAGCCTCTCTGCCCGCAAAACCCGTGGATGCAATAGCGAGTGCGAATCTGATGGCTGCGACCGTGTTCGCGGCCCCCGAGCTGCGCGACTTCAAGAAGGAGGCGACGACGTTCGTCCCGGCGAATGTTCGCAAGAAGACTGCTGCCGCCGCTTCTGCCGCCGCCGCCGCCGGACCCGCGTCCAAAATCAATGCAGCTCCGACTGTGGCACCAACAGCGGCTCCTAGTCTGCCGGATAACAGTGTTGTGGAGGGCAGCAGCAGCAGCAGCAGCCTTCCTGCACGACCGGACCTCTTGAGCTCTCTCAAAGGGAAGTTCGGCCTGCCCCCTCCTCCGGCGAAGCCTGTCAAACCCAAGGATGATTATGAGAAGTTTGTAGATTCGGTGTCGGATATATTAGGCCCGAGATGAAATGAGCCATCTTTCGGCTGAAACGATGGGGTGACTTCGTTGGACGCATCGTTTATTCTTGAGCATGGTCGCGCTGCTTGGGCCTGAGATCTCAACACGTTATCGCGTTGGCTCTTGCAGTAGCGACTCTTGGTTTACATGGGGAATCAGATCGGGTTGCCAGACTCATGCCCATCTCTGCTATGGTGCACGTGCCCTTGTCACTGCCACTTTGTGACAGGACCGGAATCTGGTCAGAAAATTTGCAAAAATAAAATGGTCGGGAAAGCATCAGAAATGGTTCAGATCGAGTGCAGATCAAGTGGAAAGACACATTTTATGCATAGAAGCCTGAAAGAGGTCATATTTGTCAGCAAAAGTGGTGACTTTGGCGTGACTTCTAGTCACATAACGTGACATAACGTGACAGAACCGGAATCGGGGTGTCAATCAAAACATCAATTCCCTCAGTTTTGAAGCAATTAATTATCCCTCTTACAGATTTGTTCTACACCTCAAACCGAGTGTTTCTGTAAGACAGATAAGAAAACAGATGCTTCTGTGACACAGTGTGACCCTTGTACAAAAGTGGTAGTGTTAAGGGCACGTGCACCATAGGACTTGGTATTTTTATCCGGCATACACGTGTCAGTGCTGATACTACATGATGGAGATACGGACTGCAAGCTTCAAGCATGCACCTTGGCTTTTTTGCCTGGGCTAACATCTCTGAGTTGTCTCACGTAGTCTCTCGCTCGCTCGCACGCTCACCACCTCCTGCGTGTCGTAGAAAGTAGAGTCTCACGCTCGAGGTTCCACCATGCCTTTCGTCTTCTTTCAGCTGGTCAAAATGGCACCAGGAAGTGATTTGAGAACGGAGCACCAGAGAGAATAATATCTACACATACGCCGCAGCGAACTATCGCTTAGCCTTTTTCCCTCTCCTCGTCTTCGCCTTCTTCTCCGCATCGTTCCTCTCCACTTCGTCGTTCTTGCGCTTCTGGGCGGTGGACTTGACGCTGACGATCGTGTTCCCGCGTGCCTTCCCGATCTGCGTCTCGGCCATGCTCCAGTCCGCGGTCACATCGTTAATTGCGTATCTGCAGGCTTCAGCAATCAGAGCGCCGCGCGCGCGATCCAGAACACTCACTGCTTGAGGTCGAGGCTGTCGATCATCTCCCGCTGGCGCTGTCGGTCCTTGCTCATCTCGGCGGCACCAGCTTCGTCGAGCTCCGCTTCAAGGGACGGCAGAGCAGGCTTGTCTGAAGGGGCAGCAGGGGCAGCTGCTGGCTCGGGGAGTTCAGCGCTGATCGCGTCTTTCTGGATCGCGACCAGCCGCTTTGTCAGCTTCGCGACGACTTTGCTGAACAGCGCCAGAGTTTGTGACACGGGCACGGTCAGTTCCGTCTGCGTGGCTCGCGTCAGCCATGGTACGACAAGACATCGTCAGCACTCACCTCGAGGTCCTCGAGCTGCTTGTGCTGCAATCCCAATCCGAGAAGGATCGCGCTTTGCACCGCTGTCAACTTGACATCGTTGACAAGCCTGCGCTCGAAATACATGCCGGCCACTTTGGGCACCAGGTCCAGGATGACATGGTAATCGAGCATGTTATTGGTGTATGCTTCAAGCCGCTTCAAGTCGAATGGAGTCAATAGGAACGACAGCTCGGTCGCGCCAAGCTCTGCCCAATGTCAACGAAGTGTAGGGATATTGACGTCGTGGGACATCACCTTTTGATTCGATGTCCACCGATTTGACAGCTTCCAGGATACTCAACGCGGTAGCACTGCTAAACTCCCGGAATTTGTAAGACAGCAGAGACAAGAATCTTCTTCGGAAATCTAGGTCGCGGCATTAGGAACCTCAAAAAACGAATCCCGGAGGAAACCGCACCCTTGGCAAACTCTCCGAGCCAGTCCTGGCCCTCAGCCAGTCCTCGGACCATAACACAGCTGTGCTCGCCCGTCAGCTCGCTCGTTGTCTGCCGCAGATACAATGGCACATAGCCGGCCCGTTTCCAGAACCTGCCCGTCGATCAGGAGAGGTTATTGGATGGCGGAAGCGCACTTACCGCAGAAGCTGTCCTGTTAGCCCGTAGCTTACACCGAGATAATCGAGAATCTCGGGCTTTCGCTCGGACAGCCGCTGCAATAGTGGAGGCATGCTCGAAACTGGTCTGACGCTCGGCGTCTCAGTCAGCAAATCATTCGCATTCTGAACCCCGTTCGTCAACATTCTGTACAGCAGAGGAAGAAATAGATCACGAACAGGGTCGATGTCGTCCCGCGTGAAGGACGTGACGCCAGCAGCCTTCTCCGCTTCGTCGTAGTTGTACAGTTCACCCGTGAAGTACGACTTCAGCGCTTCCAAAGCTCGCGATCCATAACCCATCTGTTCGCGTGTCAGCCAAAGCGGATGCGACAATAAATTACGGCCGCACCCCAGCGTAATCTGGATCACAAGCCACCCGGACTATCCTGCCCCCCAACAGACTGGCGAACCCGCTCTCCAAAAACTGTCCGCTGACGACCCACGGGATCATGTCCCCCGAAGCGGTCTTGCCCCTGCCTGCAGCATCCAGCACCGTGTCCTTGCTCAGCCCACCCTCGAGTGCGACTTGCAGCACGACCAGCGGCTCCGGCAACGTCTCTTCGTCGTCTTTGATCGGAGGGAGCAGAACGAACAGATGGTGGGCCGGTGCGTCGGACAGCATCTGCAGGTCGTTCGGCTGGTTCTTGTAGTGCGATGCGACGTAGAGCGCCATCATGCGCTGCAGGAAGACCTCGCTCGCGGGGTGGTAGCTGAACAACGTGTCCCGGTTGACGTAGAACAGCGAGCACGTCGACGGATGGGGTGTCCCGCGGTGGGATGATGAAGAGGAGTTCGTCGTCGCGTTCAGACAGAGGACGTTGTAGAGCCACTTCTCGATCTGGTCGCCCGCGCTGTACCGGATGGGCGTGGTCAGCTTGACTTCGCGGAGCGTGCGTGCTTTCGGAGCCGCTTTGGGGGTCTTCTTGGTGCCGCTCGCCGCGGCCTTGTCGTCGTTTCCACCGGCAGGGGCTTTTGTCAAGGACGGACGGGTGCTTTCTCGGAGCTGCTGGATGAGCTTCAGCGACAGACTACGCCCAGTACCCTCATATCCGTTGATGGTCGAGGCCAGGAAGACAAGATATGGGCCAATGAGGTTCCGCACAAGCGGCAAGGGGATCGCCGCTGCTTCATCGATGATGACCAGCTCGGCTTGACCGAGGACATGTGCGTCTTGAGGTTGGATGTACTAGCAAACAGGACTCAGCAACCCAAACCATGAGATCGACCAGACTGCTTACTTGTATCGTCTGCCGGTGGTTCTTGAACACATCGACCCGTACAATAGAACCTTTCGATTGACCCTCGGACGGCACACTCTGCATGATGTCGTAGTCCAGATGCTCTTCGTAGCCCAGAACATCCATGCCCTTGAAGATGAACTCGAAGAGCGTCTTCAAGTTCTCTGGGCTCGGGCTCGTTACGAAGATGTTCGAATATCCGTGCGCTAGTGCAGCGGCGATCGCCAGCCCCAGAGCAGCCGACTTGCCTCGGCCGCGGGCTGCAGTGAGGGTGACGGTCGACGACAGCGTCTTTTCGGAGATGGCCTCGATGAATGTGAGGATGGCTTGGGCTTGATCAAGCGTTTTGGAGAGGGTGAGTAACGGGCCCGCGGGTGTCGTGTCGGCTAGGGAGGATCGCAGATCTTCGAGCTGGGTCTGCTCGGGTGATGTTTTGGGGATGCTGTCGTCTTCGAGAGGCTCAATGTCTTTCCCCCTTGATATTGGTAGCACGTTCAGCTCGTCATCGAGGAATAGACAGTCTTCGGACGACCCAAGAGAGAGAATGAATCGCTCGTTGAACCTTGCGACGACAGCACCATGGGAAGATGTGCGATATCGAGAATGCACGTCCTATGAAAGTGTCATAGACTTACGCGAGTGACTATGAAAGCAGCTTACCATGGTCATAGAGTACAACTGCTTCAAACTCGACATTGTCTTGAGCATCAGCACAATGAGTCCTCCGCCCTCCACCGTTTCTATCGTGCGCGCCAGAAGATTGGGCGTGATAGCTTCGAAGTCTTGCAGCACGCACATCCCGTATGTGTTTCCGAGAACCTTTTCCGACTCCTTGTAGTATCTGTTGCGAGACTGCCTGAGCGCTCTTCACGCGGGGATTCAAATCATTCAACGCACGTATACCGGATATCCGTCACCGTCACGAAGATCTCGAACGGATTCTGGTCATTCGCTTCCCTCAGCCCGCGCTTCACATCCCGCTTGATTTTGGCCTCCCGCTTGAGCCGGTGACTGCAGGAAAGGAAGATAGGGACGCGATCAGAATGGGGTTGGACCAGGACAACGCTCGTGAGGGGCCGGACACGAACATTGGCAGGAGTTCATTCAAACGCAGACCGACCTGGTGAATCCGAGCTCCTTCTTATAGCACCACAACACCGAGGGACGAGCGGAGACACGGGCTTGAGATAAGAGGAAGTGCAGGTTGACGATCTTGCGAGGGTCGTCAGACTGGAGGGAACACTACATGGGTGTAGGAAGCACACCTGATCCCTCCCCTTGTCTCCGACTAGCACGATGAACGACCGGTGGTTCTTCTTAACATTGTTGTTGATGAGGGTCGGGATCCGAGGGTCGAGCTGCTTGCGCATTGCGGAGAACAACAGCCAAGGCGCGCAAGGGTGATCGGCCACAAGCAGTGATCGAGAGCAAAAATTCAGAAGCTGTAGCCAAACAGACCAAACAACCTCTTTTTAGACCAAAAAGGAAGGTTGTAGTTGAGCTCGCATCTTGTCTCAGTCTACCAACAGTGAGCGTATAACGGGCTCGGCGGGAATGATGATATTTCCGGTGGGCCAGCCCGCTTCGGGACACATCGACCTCTCGAGATTCGACGGCCTGGGTCTCGTGGCCCCTCCTGTCAGCTGCTCATCGAGCTAGACTTCACGTGATACCCCGCGTATATATGGACGCTATGACGCGCTGCCGCTCACCTCACTCTCAAACCTCTCACTCCTCTTCACCATGTCAAACCTGGAAGAGTTCATCGCTCACCACGAGCCTCCTGGTACGTCCCACTTCGCCCGCGTCTGCGCAGAACGAACGCCTGACTGTGCTTCAAGTCAAGGTCGGCGGACGACGCTATTCGATCACAAAGCATCACCATCACCACCACGGCCCCAACTCGACTGCCACATCCAACCCCGCGTGCGTTCCATTAACAGTGTCCATGTTGATGTCATGTGCTAATTGGCCGTTTACAGGGAGCCTGCTGCTGAAGACCCAGCACCGAACGCCGGCGGAGCCTACGTAGACGACTACCCCCGCCCGAACCCTCCTGACGCGCGGGCCCAACAGGACCGCAACCGCAACCACAGCCCCCCTCGTCACGACGGCGAACTCGAGTCCGCCTCCAAGTCAAACGACGAATGGAAATACCACGACAAGCCTTCGAAAGCTGTCAAGAACGTCAATCCCACGCAAGGCAAGATCGGTGGGGGTGGAGGCCGCATCGGACAGCCTGCGAAGGAGATGCATATCTGAAGAGCGGCAAAGCGAGAAGACCCATCAGCATGTACGATTAATATGGAGGTGTAAATGCAGTATTGACAGGCAACTTGCATGAAGAACGTTTGGATGCTCAATGTTGCACGCGACGAGATATTGCCGAACAGAAGCGTTTGAGCTAAAAGAGGCATTTGCAGCTGTCGAAGCATATCTTCTCGGCGTGGCGGCAAAGATGCGGTCGACGAAAGCACAGGCGGTGTATTCCAACCTGTTAGCTTGAAGGCGTTGAAAGAACGGAGAAAGAGAACAGTCACGAAGGGATGCCAAACAAGAACACTTGCAGTTGTTGGTGCTTGAGCACGGCCGGTCATGCTGAGTTTGAGTGATTTGATCACATATAGGTCAAATGCCGGTCTTCGTGCACACTCCAAATGATCATGCGATGCCCTTCCTGTCGGTCGAAGCAAAATCCGTCGAATGCGCAAGAGCTCGATATATAAACCACAGCCAAAATGTCAACACCAGGAGGAAATCAGCTCCGATCAAGACCACAACTCATCTATGCTGCAGTCCCCGTCTTTTGTCGCCCGAGCAGCAGCTCGAGAAACACTTTTCACCTCGTCAAAAAGCCGGGACACAGGCGCATTTCCGCCCGTAGTCGACTCAGCTTTGATTTGACACAGTTCTCTGAATGCCATGTCAAACCCGAATCCAGTCTGTCGGCTATATGCGTAAGACGCCTTTAAGATCTTCCGCTGGCGGGAATCAATCAGCCGTAGCTCTACGTCGTCCGGATCTTCGTCGTGCTGGAATAGGGCTTGTGCCTCCAGCAACACCGTCTGTCTGTTCGGCTGGTTGTTGGTCCCGTACTGGTCACCGGCTGCTTTGATTTGTCTGAACTTGTCGTGTGCCTGATCGACGCGTTTCTTCAAGAAGTCCAGATCTTCGGCGTAGCTCTGAGCCCAAGGTGCGCATGTCTTGTTTGCTTTCTCGGCTTTTGCAAGCGCGTTCTTCCACGGCAAGAGAAGTGCTGGGTCTTTTGAGAACGCTTGGTAGCTGTCTCCGGTCAGTCGGCCACAGTCAATGTCGAACTTTCGGAGCAATTCATCTCCCATAGCTCTCCCTTCGTCCATCCTGTGTAAGTCCAGTCTTGAGTCTACCAAAGGTCTCAGATACGGCACTGAACACTCACAGCTTCCTCAAAAGAAAACGATCGCCGTCAGCGCGGCCATGGACTTTCCATCCACTCAAGCGTATCCTCTCTCCGTGCCGGGACCTATGAGCCTGAAACACCTCGTCTTTCAACGTGAGTCCAGTCTTCCCGGCATCCAAAAGTGTGTTTCCACTGTGAGAGACTGAGAATAGACTGTTTCAAGGATGGAAAACCCACTCACATATGAGCCATCAGAATAGCCTCGGGATGATCATATCCATGCTTGTAAATCGCGTTTTCATGAAAGAAGGAATACAGTCCGACTTGCGTTGCCTTCAAGCCCGTGAGTAGATGCCGCTGGAACTCCCGTTGGGCTGCCACGGGATCCATAAAAGCCAGCTCAGTTTCCAATGCCGTCACAGACTTGACATTCCGCTCGAAACAATCATCCAGGTCGGGAGGGGCGGCTGCGAGTGGACTGTTTCTGAAATGATCCAACAAGGATTGAAGCCACGTAAAGATGACCGTGTCTGACAAGCCCTCAGCGCGTGAGGGGAACGACTCCAGTTGACAGACAGACCTCCGTCATAATCTAGTCAAAAGTGAGCTTGCCAAAGCGATAATAGACGGGAGAAGCCGACTCGCCGCCGCCGCTGAGCATCGAAAGTAGGCTTTGATCACCCCTGGTTGATACCACCACCACATCGGTCCACCGACTCAGCTCGGGATAGTCAACGGCCGTAACCATTTGCAGGTCGGAGGGCAAGCGCATCGGATATCTTCACCGGACGATGATGAGAAGCTGCGGACAAAGACCCTCGTTTCATCACCTTCCTATCTATCAGATGCTCAGCCTGGAGAAGAAACTGCAAACACGGGGTCGAAAACGCACAATCACACGGCCGGTCAGCGTCTGAATGCACTCCTGCGTCTCAGCATTGACCATCCCATTTGAAGCACGAAAGTAGATCTCGCCCTCCCTCAGCACATCGAGAGGGTCTGATTTCAAACCGTTACGTTCGTAAGCGCGGAAAAGCTTTGGGGAACGCACCGGGAATGACAAACCCGTCAGCCGCCGTCGAGGCTGGCAGAGAGATACGACAGCGGTCTACAACAGCAGCGATCTCGTTCTTGACGATCCAGCGTAGTTTGGTATTCAGGTACTCGTCTTCGCGCGGGCTAAAACCAGCCTGGATGAGCTCTACAGTCCGTTCATGCAGACTTAATGGACCTGCGGAGAACGTTCAACCAGGTGCCCTTCAAAGTCTGTGAACACACACCACCAGCCAGATCCCTGCCATCTTCAGCGAGCGAACGTGGATTATCGTCGTCGTAATCATCTTTCTCGTCGTCGTCTTCGACGGCCAATGACGATTCCCCGGTTTCGTCATTCTCGACACTCTCTTCAGGATCTCGGCCCCGCAAGCCAAGGACGCGGCTCTGACTGCCAGCGAATCTCTGGAGCCTCGAATTAGACACGTTGCCTGATTTCTCTACAGCCCTCCACAAAGCAGCTCTCGATCCAGGCGTCCAATCCAGCAGCGGCTCGACGCTGCCTGCCAACCCATCCAGCATCAATTTCACGAACACTTCATCTGGCACTCCGTTGTGTGACAGACAGAGGATACTCTGCTCGGACAGAGACTCACGGGTCTCGCTCGCTGGAGGATGCGATGCCCGCAATAGATCAAAGATACGGTGTTCTCGTCTCGAGCCTTCCAGGCGAATCTTGCGCTGGGACGCCCGGATCCAAATCTTGGGTTCCGCATCTGCGTTCGACGGGTGCAACGTCCACAGTCCTTTGCTGCCGCCAATGCGTCCTTGGACTGCCGTAGGAGGTGTTGGATAGTCGAGCCGCGCGGCGATGATTCGGAATCCCGCCTGGTTGATGAATCCGCAGCCGTCAGTCATTGCTATATGAGATGTAAGGCGATAGCCAGGGAAAATGAACTCGGTCGACTGACTTTGCTCAGCGGGAACTTTCCCGGTGCCCTTCCAAGTGGAGGAGATCACGTCGTCAATGAAGTGGATGGATGCCTCCTGGAACTCGAGAACAGGGGTCGAGGTCGACAAGCCCAGCGCAAAGCGCGCAATGTACTTGGCAAACGGCTAAGTATCGGAATCGTCAGTCGATCAGAGCACCGGGATGGAAGAACGCAAACCTGATTGCTGTTCAGAGCGGGGGGATTGTGGGTTTTCAGAAAAGAGTCAAATGAGACCCTCCGTTGGTCCCCAAAATACTTCAAACTCGACCGTTCCCACCCTTGCTCTGTCTCAATCAGATAGATCGAGTTCGTATCTTTCGGGGGAATGGCAATGAAGACGCGACCGTTCAAAATGAATCGCTGCGAGAAGAAGGCCGCGAGTTGTTCCGGCTCGTTTTGGACCAACTTGTCCGGAAGTGAGACATGCAGAACGGAGGCTGATCCCAAAACGCGGGCGAAGCGAAACGATCGACCCTTCGTTGGCTTCTCCAGACGCAGTTTGTACTTTCCTTCTTTCCCTCTCAGCCTCACGCCATATCTGATCTGGCCACCGTAGTAATTTTCTTTGGGCCCATCCAAGGCACCCAGTGCCGGACCGTCGAGGACTTTTCCGCGGATGTAACTCTCCCGGTCGACTTCAGCCCTTCGATTGATCAGACGACCGAACGAAGACCTCGTGCGGAATGCTCACCACATGCGCAGTTCTTTCGCGCTCACCACTTTCGCGTCACGGCCCAGCATGATGTTGACGACATTGGGAGCGATCTTTATGCTCGCATTCGCGTCGCCGGTCAAGAATAGGGTGCGATGCTGCTTCAGTTTATCGACCACTTTCTTCCAACTCCACTTCCGGGCCACGACACCCCGCGCCAGTTCCCACTGCGCGCCCAACGGCACGCCGATCTCGTCGAACATCTTCTGCGCCGTGGTATCGTGTGCGATGATTAGCGCAGGCAGCTCGTAGCCGTGCTTGCCCTCGAAGAGCGAAGTGAGCGAGAATAGGGGCTCGGGTGGACCGCATCGCAGATTCGTATCGGGGCTGAGCTGGCGGGCCTTGGACGGTGAACCACCAAATAGCGCGCTCTCGCCCGCAGCGCGCTTTCGGGGAGAACTTTGCGAGGAGGACGAGTGATCGGCGGAAGACATCGACGAAGTGCGCGAGCGTGAGTCGGCAAAGAACGAATCACCACTCGCATCGGTTTGTAAGGACGACTGAGTCGAAGTAGGCTGGAGAGAGTGTCGTTCTGGAATGTGAGACGGCGGAGGCATCTGTGGCCGATCCCGCGAGAACAGCCGTAGAGGCGCCAAAGGGGCTGAAATGGGGGTACTCAGAGCCGTCTGCGGTGTTATTTAAGGACCTACTGTGCGGAGAGACTGCATAACCGTCATCCTGCAACGATGCAGTGTCGAGCGACTGTGCCAAGGCCCGCGAAACGCCCGATGCCGATTGACGAACGGCTGGTGACAGGGTAGCAGGCGTCCTATCCTGGAGAGCAGCTGCCCTCCTATTCGTACTCGGCGTGGCGGGTGCTGTGAGAGTCCGAGTGAGCTGATGATGAGGATTGACGGCGCGGGTTATTAGCGCGTACTGTTATCCACCCGCGGACTCCGTAGCCGCCAGGCTTCTGCGGAGAAGCGCGTCCTCGTGGGGCTCGCTGATGATGAAGCCTGGGATGCGTTCGCTTCAAGTTCCTGGAGAATATTCCAACCATCTTCATCCAACTCAAAGTCATCGTCAAAGTTGCTGCCGAGACTGGACCTGCTCGCCTATTCGGGTGGAATTAGATCAGTACGAGTTCTCTGAGCTGCAGCAAGCCATACGTTCGAGGGCATTTTGGGAGAAAGCTAACAGTGATTAGGACCAAGCCTGCGATTCAAATTTGGAACGCAGCTGTCAATCAGAACATTGACAGTTGCCATTATGAAGCAGATGCAGACAGCCATAAGTACTGACAGTGCAAGTGTAACGCTTTGACTGTGAGCGGTGGATAAGGAATGGCAGGATTAAATCATCCTTAATCCAGATCAAGTCCACCGACTTATGGTTTCGACAATTCACACTCGTATGTGTGAATGGGCTGGTCTAATGTCATCATCACCTGACCGCGTCCCACCGTCACACCGTTACTTCACCCCTTTCTCCCTCAAAGCGCGGTTGGCACAACTTGAACTGGTCCCGCACGAGCAACGGCCTCTTTTCTGCGAACCTCCCTAGAATCCAACGTCTACAGACCTATTTCCTGCGCCTTCCTGAGGGCCTCGTCCTGTATCGACCGATCCGATGACTCATCCGTTACCATTGCGCAGGCCAGCTCGTACCACTGCACACCACGAAATAGTGGGGGAGACCGGCGGCGGATTGATTCAGCAGAGGACTTCGAAGCCGTCTAATAGAACCCGCAAACCGCCGGTCGACATGCCACCCATTCACGCCGCCACTCCTGTGCCGGCTGCACCGCCCGCCCTTCCGCGCCAACGAGCCGAAGTCCGAAACGCTGATGCTCGCCGACGCTGGACTTCGAAACCGAAGAAAACCAAAGCGGAGAAAGCCGCCGATGAAGAGAATCACTTGGAACTGGTGCTAGACGCCGCGAAGACAGCGATGCAGATCCTTCAAAAGCATGGGTTTCCTGCGACGCTATTCGGAAGCCTAGCATGTAAATTGTACGGGAATAGTCGGTGTCCAAAGGTGGCCGTGTTTGACATCCGCAGGAGCGCTATCTTCTCACTCCGACTTGTTTTTCACAGGATGCCGACATACTAGTCTTCCCACCGGAAGGGGATGCTGAAACCGACGCGGAGGCTTTGAAGCGGATCATCGTCGCAGCTGCCCCCGATCTCTTCTACCTCAAAGACGCACGCGACCCCGGTGCTCCCTACCGCATCCTCTGGTTCAAGCACCCTCCTTTACGTGGTGAAAGCAAAGTCGACATCCTCGTCCCTGGCTCGATGTCTATGCCCAGAATCCGACCGTCTCGAATACGTCTCATACGCGACCTGTCCGTGGCCCCCTTTTCGTTCATCCTGCTGCACAAGCTCAAAGGGTGGTCGGACCATCGAGCCGCTCCTGAAGGGTTTAAACGTGCGCGGCAAACGACCGATGCAGGCGATGTCCGGAGACTGCTGGACCTCAAGAAGGAGATGGTTGTTTTGCAGAAAAGCGTCAAAGCAGGCATCGAGCCACTATGGTGGAAAGATTCCGAGTTGTTCGACGAACAGCTGCAGACCGATTCTGTAGTTCGAGTACAGGAGTTCGCCGCAGAGTTCCCTGCCAGGATCGATCGCTTGCGTTCGTTGGGCTTTGAAGTGGCCGATCCACCGCAGAGAGATGACATACACTTGGACTTGGACTTGAAGCGGATAAACCTTGCGGGCGGAGACACCGTAACCATCGAAGCGAATGCGGCAAAAACTCTTTAAATCGTTGTTGTAAACTCTTATCAAGCATTGACAGTCTCAAGCGCTCTGTCATGGCGCATTTCACTTCCCTGCAAGTGTTTACATAAGCGGACCTTTCCTTGACATTTACTCCATCGCACCATCCTGTGCCATAGGAGAATATAGGATAAGACCTCGGTAGTGTTCTACCCAGGAACGGGAACAGTCAAGGACCCCTCCTATACGATGCAGACCCGCATGCAATACACCTCTTACGGTCTGGACAGGAGCTGCGGTGACGATGGCCGTATGAACGTTGCATGCTCAGAAGTGGGCTTCCATAGCGTGCGTCCCTCACTCCACGGTCTTGTAACCATCCATCCGGACGGGCGACACAACACCTCCTGGTGCGACTCCACGCGGAAAAGCGTTGCGGGGATCGTGAGAACGACGACGATCGAGTTTTGAATTGCTGTCAGCAGCACCCCCGTACGTGATCGAGAATTGAGACTCCAGAGCCGGGATTATAAGTAAGAGTGGCTGGAGATCCGTGGGCCCCCAGGGCCCCATCCCCGTGCCGCGTACCCCCGCATCCCCGTAACCCCGCACGCCATGTCCATCAGCAACACCGTCGGCGCATTGATCATCGGCGCCTTCTTCGCGTCGATGTGAGTCCTCCGCAGCTCCCTCCGTCGCGCGGCTTATCGTCTTGTTTCAGGCTGAGCGGGGTGGTCCATGTGTCGACATTCTTTTACTACCGCACATACCCCACCGACCCGATACACTTCAAGGCTCTGGTGAGCGTCACGCGTCATGGCTCGCTACGTCTCTCATGTTTCCACGAAGGTCGCTATCGTTTGGTGAGCGCTGGCTTGACCACGACAGAAACATGTTCTCTGACCGAGCAGGCTGCTGGATACACTCCACACCGCCTTCATCTGGGAGGGAACCTGGAACTACATCGTCCCGCAAATCGAGAGCCAGACGTTGCTCCTAGACAGAATCCCCAACGGTGTTCCGGTAAGTTTATCTGCACTTGGAGCCCCTCGTACTCAGTATCCCCAGATATCCGTTGTCTTGACTGCCACGCTCACATTCTTTGTCCACAAGTGAGCGACCACGCCAATCCGTCTGCACGCACTAAACTTACTCATCCAAGTTTCTTTGCCCATCGCATCTATCTCTTGAGCAAGAAGAACTGGATCATGTCGGCACCTGTCGTATGTTTCTGGTGCCGCGCGTATTGCTAGCCCGACTGAGGACTGCAGGTTATCCTAGCCTTCCTTCGACTCGCTGCCGCGTCTGTGACCACCGGCGAGATGTGCAGTTCCTTGCTTGCCCCTAATCGGTCATTGTTGACCAAGCTGGCAGGTTCCACTACCAACACTTTGCGGCTTTCAAGCCGCACGCGAATGTAATCATCTCTTGCAGATGACCTGTCTAGACACTCATTTTTACCATATCCACAGTGGATCTTCATTTTGGGTCTGGCGCTTTCCTCGACTGTGGACGTATACATCACCGCGTGTCTCTTCTACCTCTTCAGATCGAACCGCTCCGAAGTCTCGGCGTACGTGCCAGCCATCGACACGAATGCCTGAGTGCTGCTGACTTGTCGCAGATTCAATCACGTCATTGACCGGTTGATCCTCTGGGCATTCGAGGCGGGCAGTCTGACCACCCTCGGGACCATCGTGACGATGCTCTGCGTGAGTGCACCTGACTGGGTCGACATCCAGGCGCGAATGAAACTAACGTCATGTCGGCAGTGGGTGACCACATCCCACAACTTGATCTTCCTCGGCCTCCACTTCGTCATTGGCAAACGCAAGTCGTCGTTTCCGAGTCTGTGTCCGTAACTCACCTCTCCTACAGTCTATGCCAACTCGTTCCTTATCACGTGCGTATGCGTGGATGCTCTCTCAACTCCCTGTTGACCCTGCGTCACAGACTCAACACACGCGAGACCATCCGCAGAGCCCGTGCCAACACATCCTCTGGTGACCGCGAGCGCGGCCAAGTCCTCTTCCTCGAATCAAGACCCGGCCCGGGAGCGTCCAACTTCCTGAAGACGACCACCATCCCCTACTTTGTAGCTCTTTCCTCGCTGCCTCGCACCATGCGCATTTGCTGATCCCATCCACAGACCCGTTCGAGGCATGCTGACACACCGACAGTGCGTATTCTGTCCCGTCTATCTTGACCCTGTCTCAGCCTATGCATGCAGGATGTGCAGATCAACGTGCAGACCAGTGTGCAGTTCGACAATGATCAGAAGTCGACGATGGATGCCAAGTAGCGAGATCTGTGGCTCACACACACACACTGTACAATATCATCTCACTTGTAATCACGTCACCCCACTGGATTGTGTGGGTTGATGATTTGGAACATGTAATCGGTCAAGGAAACGAAACTTCTGCTGTAATTTTCCGCTTTGAAGCACGAGTCTTGAATATCTTAGGTGTTTCATTTTGGTCTGAGTGGATCACATCAGACATCTGAACTTATGTGACGGTTGCAGACGGTGGCAGTGTGGTTGATCCCAACAACCATCAAACCGCACTCTACCAATAACGCTCGCCGTCCCGCAGCCGGAAACTCTCCCATTTCCCGGCGCCCGCCATGAGCTTCCAAGACGTCGAATCAGGGCTTGACCCACGCTCTTCAGCAACCGTCTCGAGTGAAGAAGGCGCCTTCATCACCCTCCAGTCCTCCCTGTCGCTCCAAGTCTTCAAGATCAACTCCAATGTGCAGGCTATTCGGGGCCGTGTCGACCAGCTGGGGACGCCCAAAGACTCGGCTGCCCTGCGAAAGAGCCTGTAACTTACCATGTCGATCCCTCTGGAGCTTCTCTGACTGTATGCGCGTTGCAGACACGACCTCACCGAGACCACGCGCGACCTTGCGAAACGCGGTGGGGAGGACCTCAAGAAGCTAGCTGCAATGCAGGCCGCGCTTGTGTGTGAATTCGAAGCATCTGCGCATTCCTCTGGACACTGAACCCCTCCCTCCTCTGCTGTCCAGCCCTCGAAGAAGACCGCGCTGCAGAAGATCTCGAACGACCTGGAAGCCGCGTTGGTCGAGTTCCAGCGTGCGCAGCATGTCAGCGTCGAGCGGCAGAGGTCTGTCGTGCAGGGGGTGAGGTTGGCCGTGGATGATCATGACGCGTGAGTGCTCGTTCATTGAGGTTTCCTTGCTGCCCCGACGCGCCACCGACGTCATCGCTTTCTCGTACACGCGATATAATACACGAACACTCGTCGTCTCGATGCACTGCTGTCCTAACTTTCCGACCTTCTGACATTCCTGCACAGCCCTCCACCCGAATACGAAGAAGACTCCCAAGTGCAACGGCAAGCGCAGGTTCTGCAGCAACAGCTCTCGCCGCATGAACTTGCGTATCAAGAGTCATTGATCCAAGAACGGGAGCAGGAAATACGGGAGATCGAGACGGGTATCCACGAGCTCGCAGAGATCTTCCATGACCTGGGGACACTAGTCCAGCAGCAAGGCGGCATGCTCGGTGCGTGGTTCGGTCACCCCTCGTTCGCAGCTGAAACTCATCATATGCTCCACCAGACAACATCGAGTCGAACATCTCGTCAGTCGCCGCAGACACTTCCAGCGGCGCGGAGGAACTACGGACAGCTTCGGACTACCAGCGCAAGGCCGGCCGACGCGCTGCGTGCCTGATGGTCATCCTCGTCATCGTCACCGCCATCGTGTTGCTAGCCGTGCGATTGAGCTCCCTGTTTGACTAGATTCGGCTCTGACATACTGTCCCCAGATTCTTTCATAGACACCGACCGACACATTCACTCGATCTGACTGCCAGTGCGTGCCTCCCTTTCACTTCGTATTCGGGCGCCGTCAAATCCGTATTGCCAGGCATTTATACCATTCACATCGGTACTAACCTAATGCATAACTTATCGTATGCTATTCAAGTCAGCTAGCTTAGACTCCGCATCTTTCGATATACATGTCGGGCTAACATTGACTACTTTCATCCATCGTGATACCGCCCATACCGACACGTCCACTACCGTAAGAGGCAAAGACCTACAACTTGGAGGTAGGCGGTAAGAGACCCGACTCTTGCCAGGGAAGACCGAGAAACTCCCAGATGAAGTGGAATCTGCGCTCATGCCTGTCAGCTACAACCAAGAACACCCAGCCTCTGCAACGCATGATTACCTGTCGCTCCCGAAGAAGGGCTCCTCCTTCCCGTTGCCGTCCTGCACCCACATCCACGGCGCTCCGAAAGCCCCGAGCTCGACTACTCTGCGTGTATTGCTCGTGAGACAGTCCTTCCATTCTTTCTGGGCCGGTGCCGCCAATATCGCGTCGACTTGCGCGTCCGAGTAAAGGTGCAATCCGTCCAACACGCCTCGAACGACGTCGGGTTTCGAGATATCGGCATGCGGAAGCACCCAGAGCGAGCGGAAGAACGACAGCAAGGTCTGCTCGAAGGCGTGTTGGGGGAAGGTCGCTTTCACGTAGCATAGGATCCGCTGGGCCTGATCCGCATGGTGAGTATTGTCACTCTATGTGGGTGTGCATTGCGGCATGAAACGGTCGAACCATGACTGTAGACGCGGGAAAGAACGCAGGCTGCGCAACGCCAGAGACACCGTGAAACCGAGCTGTGCGCGCGATGTCGAGTTCCATATACGCCGCCTTCGCGGGAAGCGTCCACGGTGGCTCGTTGCCTCAGAGGGATTGGATGAGAACGACAACACTGGCGCTGACGCCGCCGCATGCAGCGGCAGCCCACGCACCGCTAGCCCGGTGCACACCGCCGAGCAACACCGGATGGAAGCTGATGAGCTGGTGAGTCTTGTGTTCCCGGGGGACGAGATGCCCACTGGCACACGCACTCGACCGAGACACCGTGTGAGGCAAGCTGTGGCCGGATCTTGCATAGATGGAGAAACGCGAAGAAGCTGTATAAGGAAGCTGGCGGTCGTTGTAATGGATGTTGATCGGGGCAAAAGAACGGCGCACCACAGTCGAGGTAGCAGTCGATGTGGGACGGCATGGATGTATGCGTTCCACGTCCGGCTATTCAGGGCCGTTCACAAGCTGAAGAAACAACTGATACGGATGTTCGCTGGCATGCACTGGCGGCGGAAGACCAAGTCGGGATTATACACAACCTCTCTAGAATCACATACTGCCCGGGCCGCAAAGACCCGGATGGGCTCGAGGGTGTGTGACCCCAATCTCCCAAATTCCAACTCGGGTTATCAAGTGACCTGTAGGATGCGCAGAGCTTCCGGAACTACGTGGTCACAATGCAAGCAGGTTAAATAATATTCAAAAAGCAGGCGAAATTGATTAGAGCGTCCAGCAGAAGGTGGTGATGCACACTGGTGAGCGGCTCACATGATCGGTCGCGGCGCTCCATGCACAAATGGCTCTGCGTAGTGGCAGTGCTCACAATCGCATCTAATCCTACTACAATCGCATTTCTCTTCAAATTTCAAAGCCGGCTCATCATGGATGACACATTGGAGGAACTCAGGAATCCACTCAGGTCTCTGATCTTCTCTGATCTCACTATTCATCACCGCCGCGTGTCGTGCAGTGAGCCAAGATTCTTAATTCTCCGTCGGCCGTCCATACTTCAAGGTGCTAGACTTAGGCGGGGATGAAACCTCACCCGCGATATCACTTATAAAGACTCCAATCTGACTGAACTTTGAGCTCCTTACACATTATCCACGACCCTAGAATCCCTATGAGCATCCAGTACACTGTTTTCAAGGGCTCCAAGAACGGCATCGTTGAAGCCACAATGTCTCGCCCTGCACCAACAGGAAAACAGGTCCTCCTTCGCATCACGCACTCGGGCATTTGCGGCACCGATGAACATTTCAAGAACGCCGATATGGGTCTTGGACACGAGGGGGTTGGTGTGGTTGAAGCGGTTGGGTCGGATGTAACACTGGTGAATGTCGGTAATGTCGTTGGTTGGGGCTACACACACAAGACGTGTGGGACCTGCGAGCAGTGCATCCTTGGTTTGTTTGCTTTCGTGATATAGTTTTCTCTCTCTCATTCGCTTGCTCTCCAGGCCAAGACCAGTACTGTCTGCAGCGAGAGCTCTACGGCAAGCACAATCTTCATCAAGGCTCGTTCGGCTCCCACGCCGTGCGTGAATCCTCTTTCTCTTGTCAACTGTATTGACCCCCGCCAGATCTGGGACGAGTCCTTCCTATTCCGCATTCCAGCAAATATGGCCCCAGAAAACGCTGCACCTCTCATGTGCGGTGGCGCGACTGTGTTTGGGGTGATTGAAACATACAACATCCGACCCACCCACCGCGTCGGCGTCGTCGGCATTGGTGGTCTTGGGCACCTCGCGATCCTCTTCCTCGCCAAAATGGGCGCCGAAGTCGTCGTCTTCTCAAGCTCGGATTCCAAGAAAGAAGAGGCCACGCGACTCGGCGCATCAGAATTCTACGCGACTAAGGATGTGACCAAGTTCGAGAACGTGCGCATACTAGACCACCTCATTTTCACCACCAGCTTCGTGCCCGACTGGACTCCGTACCTTTCCGTCATGAAGCCGAAGGGTACGATCTTCCCGCTGACCGTCAGCAAGGGCAACCTCTCGTTCCCTGTCACCCCCTTCATCGATAATGGGATCACCGTGCAGGGCTCACACATCGCTTCTCGCTCCGTGCATGCTCGGATGCTCGACTTCGCTGCGCGTAACAACATCAAGCCCATAATCGAGAAGTTCCCCTTGACGAAACAGGGCGTCGAGGAAGGGATGGCGCGATTGAGAGATGGGAAAGTCAGATACCGAGTAGTACTTGTAGCATGATCCGAAATCAGTGTTTCTCGCTTTTGTAATTAACTGTATCTCCACGCCGCTCACGCTTTCGACTGGCGTCGTGTGGCGAGACATCACGCAACGATCACGGGACCGTGTTGAGACGACGCATGGCGATTGATGTGATGTGATTTCAGACTTGGTCACTCCAGACATGCATATGTTGCTCAGACAAATCTAGCAGTCAGCTCAGAGTAATAACCGATGGATTCATATGATGCAAGCAGTCAACACGCGAGTTTAGGCTTGCTCTGACGCGAGAGTCTTAAGTGCATCGGGGCATGCATGTGGGGTAAAATGATGTCGTATATCATCGGATTGTACATTGACTGGTCGTTTTTTTGTAGACTACAGACCGAACACATCCTTGACAGTCTTCCACTGGTGACCTGGCCACAGCGCGTTTCCACTCTTGGACGCCTCTTCGTCAGACACACCTTTGACGCCGTGGCCAGTGGTGGCCAGACCCTGGTCAGCGATGCTCATCAAGAATGCCTTGAAGTCAGCCATCTCCCCGTCCAGCTTCTCGACCGTCTCGACTTGCGCGCCGAACAGCGACCCGAGAGACCGATAGCCTGGGATGCGGTCGCCTTCGATACGCAGAATCTGGTTCTCTAGGACGGACGGAGGCTGATGGGTGAGGACATGTGCGAGATAGCCTGGGAGAAGGTGGTTAGCGCCTTGTAGATCGTGGTGGACCAGTAATTACGCACCAGCAACATCTCCGATCGACGTGGCCGACACAGTGCCCTCCGATTTGCCGATCACGTACAGCTTCTTGGTTTCGGCGCTGTAGTTCACGGCCCAGGTCACAAACTCGATGAATAGTCCGTTCTGAATGTCCACGTCAGGATCTAGAATAGAGAAGAGTAGAGAAGCACTGACAAAGATGCGGAGGTACGGCACGCCGACGCTCTGGAGCTTTTCTGGACGAATGAAAGCACGAATGAGCAGCCGAAGGACGAAAAGGAGCTGCTGATCACACCTATGATCTTGTTCTTCTCGCCAAACGGACCTTCCGTATATCCTGCCGTCGACGTGCCAAACTCAGACGGCGCGAATAGCTTGACGCCGGCTTGCTTCGCCGCGTCCACGAGAGGCGCCTGCGCAGCTATGGCCTCCGTGGTCAGCGCCGACACGATCACGTCGACTTTGTGCGCCTTGAGTGCGGCTGTGACGGCGGGCACGTCGTCGTACGACGGGACTTGGACGACCTGGACATTCGCAGGGACAGACTTCGACGCGCTGCGGGAGAGGAGGATGACTTTCGCGGAGGGCTGGGCAGCGAGGGCGGCGAGGATAGGGCCACCGACAGTACCGGCACCGATCACTGCGAAAGAGGAGTAGGAAGACATCGATGGGTTGAGTGAGGGAGGTAGATGTTGCTGTTAGTTAGTTCGGTTCTCTGTTGTCCTCTGTCTCATTTCGAGCCTGGCTTTTATAACCTGGCGAGGTGGATATGGCGACATGGTTGAGAGTGAATAACCAATCGCAGAATCGATCGCGTGCGGATGGTCCAATCAAAAGATTAGATTCCTTCGACGCTTTCACGTCATCAAGTTGACGAGATGCTTCGCCCCCCTGGACTTGATTTGCATCCTCCTTCGCCATTTTTATTGATGAAGATTCCATCGAACAAAATTCCTTGTAGATAATTCGTATTTGGAATCCTCCTCGCACTCTGCGTGAAGGTGTATCCCCGTTCTCTCAATTGGTATTCACGTACCATCACCAAATATTGATGTAAGCGTTGCCAAATCGGGCGGGCTCTTACTCAGTGCCCGAGATGTCCCCGAACCAGTCGCCATCCCAGTCCGACGCTCGGGTGGCCTAAGACCGTCCATCTGACCAAGCGCATGTCATTTGCGCGTTGTCTGTCGCCCAGCCTAGGCAACGAATACGGGATCGCTCGGTTTGCGCATGAAATCGCACGCCAGCGGCTGACGCTCCGTTACTACTCACACAACGGGGCCAAGAAGCTACTCCCGACCCCACCGGACATACACGTGCTAGAAACTCCTGCTGCAAATGACTCGGCGCGGAGTTGGGCTGCTGCGTTCGAGCGCACGCCAATCCCTCGAGGGGCGGTGGAGCTGGCGTTCTCGCGGAGCTCGGGTCCCGGTGGACAGGTACGATCCATTCCCAGCGCGTACACCTCCGTCCATTGAATTTCAGCCAATAGAATGTCAACAAGGTCAACACGAAAGCTACTATCAAGTGCGCTATCGGGGAGGAGTGGATTCCACCATGGACCGTGCCCCTGCTGAAGAAATCTGTGAGTCGTGACTGGAGCACTCGAGAACGTCGACTGATATGGCAGCCCTAGTCGTACTACGTCTCGTCCTCGCAGTCCATCCAGATCACGTCCAGCGTCCACCGCTCTCAGGCGCAGAACGTCGACGAATGCCTGTCCAAAGTACGCGCATGCATTTTCTTCTCCGAGGCGCACAATCAATCCGGCTCCAGCTCCATGCCCTTATATTCGATACATCGCGATCGCTGTTGAGGAACGAACCGTCCGACGCACAGAAGAAGAAGGTCGAGGGCCTCATTAAGGCTTCCGCTCAACGGCGGCGAACGGAGAAGATGGTTCGCAGCAATGTCAAGGCCTCCCGCAAACCTCCGCGCGACTGAAACTCATGCCTGCTTGGCTTGCACCACTGCGGTTCACATCACAACTCAAATCGAGAGCGGCATCCACTGTGCACTGCCATGACTTTTACTCTCTGTCGTGTCCACGTTGTGTCACAGCTGCCTTGGCCGAGTTACAGGCCACTGATCGGGGCCACAATCATCTACACCAGCTGTCCTCCATGAAGCCTGGACCTTATGGCCTCTAGGTTCCCTCGCTAGAAACTGTGCTGCAATGATTTGACGATGAATGCAACACATAGTTCAGACAACCATGACATTCTTAACAAATTGGAACTACGACGGCGTACAGCCTAGGGCGAAAGACTAGGACCTGAGCCGACGATTGATTTGGCGTTCAAGAATCCGAGGCACTCTCGCCTGTTCCGCAACCATCACTCATGTATACAAAATCTGTGTGCGCAGGCGAAGGTGGAATCGCGACGGAATTGATGCTGGGAGCTTATCGGCCACGAAAGATCGCGCGTGAGACTCCCAGTTGTCTTCTAATTCGGCGGTTACGAGCAGGCGCCTGTCGAGTTAGTTTGATGGGCGCCTTCGACTGGGCAATATGTAACCTGCGCGAAGCGGTTTCTCTTCCTCTTTACTGTTTCCTTCCTTCTGCCTCTGGTCCATGGATGAGACTCATTTATCGGCTGCACTAGATGCCATAGATCAGAACTGGTTTGTCAATACGACTCGGCGAGCACGATGGATGGACTTGCTTGGAGATTACGCTGGGACGGAGCTTTTCCTTATCTCAGGCAAGTCCCTTACATCAACTCGCTATTCCCCGAGCGACCCATTGTCGTAGGGGAGTCACTGCTCAAGACTGTGCTGGATGATGCGCTGTTAGCCTTGGGGCATGCTGGAGGTGTGTTAAACTCAACTCTATCGACTGGGTTCCGCTCAGGATCCGACATGATTGCATGACTGTAGACCTCAGTTTCCAAATTCTTCACGCGTATTACTTGCTGGAAAACGCTTTACTGGAGTTCACTAGCCGCAACGCAAACTTCGAGATTGTGTTCTGGCAGAGTTAGTCCCCGGCTCAGAGCTGTTTCACACAGGGTTTGTACTGAACAGACGCGTAGGTGAACGTCACTCGACCATTCACACCGGTGCATCCGCGCTCGTCGTTACCTCGCGGGCACTCGCACGAGCGCTTCTGTTCCAACATCTCCAAAAACTGGATGTCGTGTTCCGCCTTTTCTCGGACACCCGTGATCCTTCTTGGCTCCAGTACGAAGAGGAGAGACGCCCGATGTTCGTGATGCTCCACGATGGCGGAGTTGGTGATGGAAAAGACGTCGACCGACGCACACTACTCCAGCGCATGACCATGCTGGACCTCGTCGATCGAGGTTTGTCTATCGCTTTCCTCAATGGGGTTGAGTTCCGTGACTCCAAGGTAGGCATCACCGAAACTATCAGCTCCCCGATGACCAACTCACTTTCAGGTTCTCACATTCGTCTATCATGGAGATCATCGTTCCAGTGATCACCAAGGCTTCGCCGATGCTCTCTGCATCGCCAAAGGGGCCAGGAAAGAGCTGGACGAGGCTTTGCGAGATCAGTTCGAGTCATCACTTGCGTTGAACGCCTTGAATCCTCCCATGAGTGTTCCCTTGCATGCCCAGACCGTCTTCCTGGCCCGCATAAGGAACAAGCTGGAAGACTCGGATCTCGTCAGAGAGTTGCTTTTCGTGTTCTTGACGCACGTAGTCCTTCTCCCATCTCTTCCGCTATCCGACAGGGCCCAGCCAATCCACCACTTGCATTCGCACGTGCAAACGTATCTCCTGGACACATTCCTCCCTGCGGTATTCTCTGTCCTGGCTGTCGCGCCGTTGGAAGTCGACGGGAGAGTTTTCGCGGCTCTGCTGGCTTATATCGTATCGAATCCGACCAAGTGCATCAGCGAGATTGTACCAGGCATCGAGGAATTTGCCGCGCAGTGGTCTCTGTCTATGCCGGTCTTCAGAGTCCTGCAAAGATACGCTACATCAATCTGTGATGAGAAACTAGACGTCCCGCATCCGGTTTACGAGGTCCTCCCATTTCATCATCCAGCCTTGGATACGCTCCCTCTCGTCGATGATCCCAGCTCCATGGACACACGGGATGCGCCAAGTTCGGTTTACTCCGATGCCAAACACTGGCACAACGACCAGTCGATCCTACCCAGGTATCTAGGTGGCCAAGATCGACCGGTTCTCAGTGCATGGGAGAAACAAAGACGTAACCGAGGGAATCAGTTATTCATGGTTACGCTTCAGAGAACCGCTGAGACGCTGACCGGAGCGCTGGGGACCGGGTTGCGAAAGATCTCTATTGCGCCGGTCAAGGATCTACCTCAGGTCCGACACGCCCAACCAGTGAGTCCCTGACTCATCTCAAACTACTCATGAGGTTCTTAGAAACGCTTGCC